GGTTCCGTCATTTGGTCCGCGGCAAATGGAGAGAAAGACTTAGGCGGAAGTTCAAATTTCCTGTGAGTACACATGCTCTACATTTATATTTCTCCGATTCAAATACATACAAGTGTATATTAATTAGATCTCTCGTTTGTCATTTATTTGTAGTGCGCAAAGCAAAAGCAGGGAACTAACTTGTGCGGCTATTACGTGTGCGAGTATTGCCACTGCCTTGTATACCAAATCATCACCACAAGAGAGCTCGATGTACGTACAAATAAATTCAAAATTTCATTTCGTAGCGATTTCTTGTTTAATTACTAATCAATTTCATACATTCATATAGTTTATTCACATGAGGGATAACCTGACCACACACAAGGAATTTATCGCGGCGGTTCAAGAACAACTCATGGGATTCATCAACGAAGAAATCCTTGATCCCAAGGGTGAATTCTACTACGACGGAAACACAATTCACCGGTCCTTAGCTTCTGAGCTAGCAGCGACTACTACTACGTCGAAATCGTAGCTAGCTAGGACATATAATGGATTGTAATTAATACATGACTACATATGTTTCTATATGCATGTGTACACATTTTCTATAATGTAAATATATTTTGGTCATATATATATCTATATACATATGCATTTGCATAACATATATATGTATAAATACATATATATTATGCATGTATATACATATAATATAATAATATATATATATATATACATATATATATGTATGCATATATATGTATTGAAACATATATACATATATATATATATATATATATATATATATATATATATATATATATATATATATATATATATATATATATATATATAAACCATGCAGCAACAGGGCCATGCAAAAAAAAAAAGGTCAGCTCGATCTTTAGTCCCGGTTGGTAACACCAACCGGGACTAAAGATCGATCTTTATTCCTGGTTATTTCACCCGGGACTAAAGATAGCGATCTTTAGTCCCGGATTGGTACTCCTGGTTTGGAAACCGGGACTAAAGGGGGGTTACGAACCGGGACTACAAAGGTTTTCTCCACCAGTGGTGACTCCGTCGTCGCCTGCCACCCATGTAACGTCCCGCCTTTCTCAGGCCGGACGGACCCGCTTACATCTGACAGCTTTTATAGATCGTAGACTGCTCGGGCCCTTTTACATGCCTTTCTTAGGCCAGGCCCGCTTACATTTGACAGCTTTTATAGATCATAGACTGCCCGAGCCCGCTTACATCTGACAGCTGGCCCGCTTACATGTCTTTCCCAGGCCGGGTCCGCTTATATTTGACAGCTTTTATAGGTCATAGACTGCCCGGGCCCACTTACATCTGACAGCTTTTAACACAAGTCTCGTGTGCACCCGAGAAGAATTTAGTCTTTTCTGCACACTTTGTCCTCACTCGTGTGCACCTGAGAAGAATTTCCCGGGTCGGTCACCCATCCCAAATTACTCCAAACCAAGCACGCTTAACCTCGGAGTTCTTTGGAGATTGGCTTCCGGAAAAAAAGTTGCAACTCATTGATATGAGTATTCTATTAATTCTATTAAGCCCTAGGCTGGGATGTCACAACCCATCTCTTCACTGCCGAGAGATGGGAAAAAAGAGTGAAGAGGGAGAGGCAGAGGAGGGAGAAGAGATGGGTTGCTAACATGTGGGGTCCACGTGGGTCCCCCTCGTCATGTCAGCCAAAACCGGTCACTATACTGTCGAGTGATCAAAGTTAACACGGTATTGTGAGTTGAGGGATGTGCTATACCGTATTTCGGTTCAGGGGTGAGTTGTAGACTCGGTGACAAATTGAGGGACCTAAAGTGAACTTGTACCAAAATGAAATGAACCCGTCGGCCCAGATCAGATCGGAGACCATCCCCTCGACTCTGCGGCGGAGTAGCCGAGCCCAAGCAAGCGCTCGCCGGCGGCGGCCATGGACGACGACCGTCGGCGGCGCCTCTTCCTGGATTCGTCAGGTAACGCCCGGATTCAGTTCCCTGCGATTTTGGTGGGGTTGCCCCATTCGATTCATTCCATGAAGATATTCCCAGAATCCCAGGTGTCGATTTTAAGGGTTTCGTGTCAATTGCGCGGCAGATTCGTGTTCTAGTGCGTTCAGTTATGTTTTCTAGGTGTTCATCCTTCTTGCATGTTTCATCTGGTTAAAATATTGGCGCATGAAATGTACAGAGGGTTCACACTTGCATGGTATATCTGTGCAGCAATGCATCAACTCTAGCTTGCAATGGCCTACAATGGGAGTTGTCAGAATTTCTTCAGCTAAACAATAGTAGTAGATTACAACAAAGTTTAAGGGCTGCATCATCTGATTGCTTTAGTTATTTTTTCTGAAATTCGAGAATGCAATCTAACTCATAGAAGTATAAGGAACTTACCCTTAGATAATAAACGAATGCTATGAGATCATTCTGCAGAACAACGATCTCAAAAATGAACAGAAAGGAAAAACATTGTCTAAACGCAGTTCAATAGTAAAAGGGCCTCTTATAACAATCTCCAAAGCAATCAAAATAACAGAAGAACACTTCAGGTCCAGATGGATAAGAAAGCGAATGTTTCAGGTAGGCTAGCAAAGTAGCAACAACTCCATAACGATGAACTTATTGGAATGGTCAATGGACTTGACAAATGCAGAGGCATCAAACAAGATTGCTAATGTAGGGAGAAGGTAACTAGCACTCCTAGTCTCCTACAAAATCAGCTCTTGAAGATGCTGCATTTTTTGGTCCATCTCACTCTCAATCCAGTGAGCTTCGAAGTCCCAGTGCAGATCAACCAGCCAGAGTTTCTTCAGGGTCCGAAGGGTTTCAATGCCAGAAGGGACACTCTCCAGCCCTGACAGAGCCACAATGTACAAACCTTCAATGACTGGAAGTGCACCACTTATAATTTTTAGCTGGTTGACATCAGGCATGTGCTTTCGCACAAGTGTCTTCAGGCATGGGAAAGCCGCCGCGTCAAGAACCAATCTTTTTGCGCTATGCATGTTGTTCAGTCTTAGATAAGTGAGGTTTGACAAATGTGATGCAAGCATCGCCAATGGATCCTCTCCAAGATTACACCTACTTAGAGCTAAATATTTCAGATGTGTACCATGGCTATGAAATATCGGGTAGTCTAGTGTGCCCTTAGCACATTGCCCTCTGATAATTAACCTGTGGAGTTCATTGGAAATGGGCTGGAGAGCCTCAAAGCAAAGTGGCTCATTTTCATCCTTTGCCGAAAGAAGCAAGCTGGAAAGAAGCGGCATATTTGATAGTGTAGCAAAAATATTTCCACAATCAGCAGAACTTATGTTGTCAATCCAAATACTTCTTATCTGCATTAGTTCCTTCAGCTGCTCGGCCAAGTCCTTGCTGGCTTCCACAGTCTCAAGAGTCTGAAGTTCTTCCAACTTAGACAGATCATTGGGTGCTTGCACTCCTTTGAAGTACCGGAACTCTGAATGTTTCTCACCATCAGATCTATCAGCTAGCAGGTGCCTTAGCTTCTTGATCTTAGTGATTCCACGTGGTAGCTTCTCTATTTTGGTTTGCTTGATGTCCAGAGTTTAAAGGTTGGAGAGCTTGTCAATAGACTCTGGTAGTGAGTAGAGTCTTGTCCGCCTTAAGCCAATGTAACGTAAATTAAACAAGTAACAACAAAGAATGCCAGGTTCCATCCAAGAAACTCGGATTTTTTTTTTGAGGAGAAAAAAAAACGCATACATGCAGTTCTAATTTAGAATGATTCGTTCAAAGATGGCCATATGTGCTATATAAAGTAAATTTGGTTTAGCCTTATTATAGCAGCACTTTGGTTTAGCTCCAGCTCCACGTGGTGAGAATTCTAGGCGGATAGATCTGAAGCAATATCCGGTTTTAAGAGTTGGGGAGTCGAGATATCCGGTTTTGTGGTTTAGGGTCACGGATTAGATTTTGATCACTTTTGAGGGTAACAATGTGAACTTATTCCTATGCAAAAACAGGTCGGCCCAACTTGTGTATCCCCTTCTCAGCCCAACAAGCATAGGCCGCCTTCTTCCCGGCCCAGCCCATTGGTCACTTCAACTCGCACGGTCGCACCGCATATGGACAATCCGGTGCCCAGTGGCCCAGCCCCAACACCCTCTCGCCGGCGACGGCCACGGCCGCCGCCGCGCCGCGCCGCTCACGTCCACTCCATCGCGTCCAACGCCGCCGACCGCAGGTAGCTCCCCCTCGTCCCCACCCCCGGCGCGGGCGTCGGCTTCGGCGTCGGCAACGGCTGGAGGCTGGTCCGCTTTTGGCCCTGGTAACGCCCTGAATTTTTCTGCGGTTTATCGCTCAGATTATCCCAGTTCATCGCTGGTTTTGTTGATATTTGCGTGTATGCTGCTGTAGTAGCGCTTTCACTTCCCTATATGGGTGGAAATTCCGTTGTTCATGTTTGTTGAGGATGAGATACAAACAAGTTCGTAGTACTCGAGATTGCCCTGTCACACACAGCACAGAGCCGCTTGAAATAAAATGCAGAGTAGTCATTTGGACTGTTTCGGCTAAATACAGTGGTAAAATCAAGGGGAAAATGACTATACCATTTGAAACTTTGTTTTTTCACAACTGTTTAGCATCTTATCCATGGGATGTGACCCTTATCCGTTTCGCCTTATTTAGTCAACTACACAAAATCAATTGCTGGCTGCTGAATCTTTGCCCCCTTTTGAACTGAAACCTGTCAGGAGAGCTGCCTGCTTGATAGTTAAGAAGAAAATTATTTCAGATGTGTGTTTTTTTACTTTATCTGTTGAATAACGTGTTTTATCATCTTAGTTATCTAAACCGGGCAAGCATTTAAAACGTTTGAGGGTTAAGTCCCATTTGATTTTTTGTGGAGTGGAAGGCACCCCTCTACTGTGAATTTGTGATGATGCTCCATTTCAGTGGTACTATACCAAATGTTATGCGGTTATTTATTAACACTGTGTACCAACTAGCAACCTTTCTAGTAATCATGAATTTGGAGATGAAAAAGAGTGACACCATTAATCAAGAATGCAGGTCAACAATAAAAGGACCAGTTTCATAAATTCTGCAAAGTTGTGAAGCAAAAACAATAGGACATATGACAAAGTAGTTTCCTGATGGCCATGAAAGCCAATATTTCAGGACTTATTTCCAATAACGAGGTTGCGATGTAGTGGTGCCGCTAGCTCATCTGTCATAAACTGATCATTTGTTGGAAAAGACTAAATGCATAATGTGGCTGAGCCCATAATCACCAGACAGAAATAATACTGCAAAAGTAAGCAAAGTTTCTAGTCCTTGACATGCAGCTCTGGAACATGTTGCATCTTTTGGTGCATTCCATTTTTTTGCCACTGAGACCTGAAATTCTTATGCAGACCCAAGAGCCACAGCTTCTTCAGATACCTAAGAGACTCAATGCCTTGAGGGACATTGTCCAACTTTGGCAATGACACAACATATAAACCTTCAATGTGTTGGAGGGCACCGCCTATAATCTCCAAGTGGTTTACATCAGGCATACGCTTCAAGACAAGTGTCTTCAGCTGAGGGAAGCAATCTGCAGAAAGAACCAAGGTGCTTGCACTATTCACCCTGTTAAGGCTAAGAAAGACAAGGTTTGGCACATAGGGTGCAAGGAGGAGTAGAGGATCTTCCTGAAGACGGCACCAGCTTATGGCCAGATACTTGATATTTTTCCCATGGTCACGAAATATTGGGTACTCAAGTGTCCTAGCTGCCCAGCACCCTCTGACAATCAGCCTATGAAGCTCCTCTGATTCTGGTTTGAGAGCTTCCAAGCAAAGTGTCTCGTTTTCATGACTTGCAGATAGAAGCAAGCTGGAAAGAAGTGGCATCTTTGATAGTGTAGCAAAAAGATTTGCACAATCATCAGTTCTTATGTTGTCAATCCACACGCTCCGTAGTTGCATAAGTTTCATCAACTGCTCAGCCAATTCTTTGCTGGCTTCCACAGTCTCAAGGGTCTGGAGTTCTTCCAAGTTGGATAGCTCTTTGGGTGCTTGCATTCCAATGAAATAGCGAAACGCTGACTGCTTCTCGTCTTCATATCTGTCAGCTAGAAGGTGCCTCAGCTTCTTAATCTTAACAATGCTTTGTGGTAGCTTTTGTATTTTGGTTTGCTTGATGTTGAGAGTCAGGAGGCTTGAGAGCTTCCCAATAGATTCTGGAAGTGATTTGACTCTAGTGCGCTGCAGGCCGATGTAGCGTAGATTAAATAGCTCTCCTATGGATGCTGGCACTTCAGTTATTTCAGAATCTTGCAACTCGAGAACAGTAAGATAGTTGGATTCAGACAAAATTGAGGATAACATGTGACGAGAGGGTGTTTTCATTCCAAGTGCCACTAGGGTCCGGAGACGCATGAATTTAACTTGCAACACAGGTTTGCCCTTCCATCCATATGATGACAAGCGACGAACTTCCTTATCCATCCTCTCCATAGTGTCATAATTATTTGCAGAGCCGAACTTCTCCTCTTTAGCAATAGAAAGAGCCAGGTCCCGCACGAGGTCATGCATCTTAAAGGTACTAACCCTGCCTAGCTCATCATTTCCAAGAACTTCCAACATATTCCTTTGTATCAATTCACGAAGATATTTTTCAGCCACCTCCTCTGGTGTGTTTTCTTCATTTTGTACTGCAAACCCTTCTGCGACCCACAACCGTACAACGGTCTCACGTGATAATTCATGATCTTCGGGGAACAGGCTACAATACAAGAAGCAGTTTCTAAGATCTCCCGGTAAGTCATGATAGCTCATATTTAGAATTGCTTGAACATTATTGTTTTTTGTGAGCTCACTTCGAAGTTGCTTGTATGTTTCATTCCAGACTTGATTCTCTGGTGGCAATGAAGACAATAGGCCACCTATAGATACGATTGCCAGTGGCAGACCTTGGCACCTAACTACTATATCATTAGTCAGTTTCTCAAGGTTCTGTGGACACTTGCAGTTTCTGTAGAAAGCCCTTCTACAGAAGAGTTCAAGCGCGTCAGTGTGCTCCAATGGGTTGAGTTTGAGTTGGCGTGCTGACTGAGCAAGAGTTGCTACATCACCCTGTCGTGTTGTGATGATTATGCGACTTGCTTGGAAGTTTGGGAATGCATCTGCTATTTGAGTGTATGCTTCTCGGTTCCAGACATCATCCAATACAATTAGAAAATTTTCATCCTTAAGCTTTTCCTTTATTCTAATTTTCAAGTCATGAGCATCCAAATCTAATAGCTGTGTTTGATCATCAGGCACAATCTTCCTAAGCAATTTCCTCAGCAAATCAACGACATCATATGACTGTGACACGACAATCCAAGTACTAACTTCGAAATTGTTCTTCTCCCGCTCATATACATTATTGACCAGGGTGGTTTTCCCCAATCCACCCATACCAGATACTGTTATTATTGTGTTATCTTGCTCTTTGGAGTACAACCAGTCAGTCAACAGTTTCCTGTTGTCTTCTATCCCAACTAGATCATCTGGAGCTAGAAGGCAGTCTTGGGACCGTTTCCTTTCAATATCTGCAAGCGGATTGGGAGTGTGTTGAGACTGCTGCTGCCACCGTTTTTTCCGCATTGCAACATTTTCAATTTTTTTCTCTATCTTGCTAATCTCTTCAGCAATTTCACTGAAAACCGTGACATAATTCGGTGTGGTGAAGAGTTTCTTGACAGAATTTTCTTCTTCCAATTTAAGAGCATGGTATGAATATTTGTCCATTATGTCCTGAACACGGTGGGCCAGACCTCGCACCTCTGCAATCCAACCCTTGACAACCTCGTCTGTAAGATTTGTTGTACTCATCTGTTTTATAACATTGTTCATCGTCTTCAGTTCATCCTCTATTTCCTCAACCTTTGATGGCAGTTCCTTAAGATTTGTAGCTTTTTCAGATAGCTTGGTTATAGCAGCTTTGGTGGCTTCCTCCACTAAAACAGAACCAATCTTTGAGACAGCGAGGATTACAGCCTCCATGTGTGCTGAACAAAGGCACAGATTGTATTACATAATGCAGTAACAAACTAAAGCAAACTAACAGAACACAGGGCATCAGTCCTTGTAGGAGTTAATTAGCAAAAAGGCTATGAAAATAAATACTTATGTGCCACTCAGTTTCGTTTCATCCCTTACATTATCTTGAGTTTTAATTTATTTTCATCCTCTATGTGCCCACCCTGTTACATGAGGGTAATTTTTACATATTTTATTATAAATTAACCCCCTGATAAAACTTTTCTGAAACATTCCTTAAGCATAGAGCCATGAAATTTTGGCGCAGTTTATATGTAGCCTGGTGCTGCAAGACTTGGCGTCATGTGGGGTGGCATGTAGAACCTCTATGGCTCCATTGACCATCCTACAAGGTCGCCTGACGACAAATACTTTGGTGCGACGCTATGAACCAGGGGTGGATACAAGACCCGACGAGCTAGGTCATTATCAGTATAATGATCTCTTATATATTAATTGCAGTCAATAAATTTGTGCAAGCAACAATTTGACCGTATTTACACCAAATCAGGGCATCCCTGTTCTTTCAAGTTCTGAATTTTTCTGAATTTGGCGATATCAGTTCTGGATTTTTTCTAAGTGAATTTTCAAGATACTGATTTTGATTTTAATCATGAATGATTTGCACTCTAACTTTTCCACATTTATTTTGTGTATCCATCACCATCATCTAGCAGGAGCAGAACCTACCCATTGTCGCACCAACCACCTGCTTCCGTTCTTCAGACCCCTTGTTGTTTCCCATTTGGTTAATCTGAACATATTGCCATACTTGACACTTTCCCAATTCCCATGCTCTATTTAGTGCATTATATTTTCCATTAGACTGGTCTGGACAGATTTCTAAGTAACTCAATTGGTTGTAAGGTTAATCGCAATATCAACAATATCTGGTTAGTATTCTTAAGGAGTGCCATACGGGAAAGCGATCATATGACTATATGAGAAGTTAGGTCATTCTATTCTTCTTACTTAATGGTATATGCTTCCAGAAGTGCTATATGACTGATATACATTGTCACTTTACCTTACCATTACCATGCATTTAACCGTGACAGATTTTACTCCTAGCATATATGTTACACCATAATAAAAAAATGAATTTGAAGACTGGAAGTGTGACTGAAATTGAGGTCTGAATATTATATTCGAGGCCTGGAAGTAAATCTTAAATTGACTTTTGAATCACACGTAACTCCTGAGGTTATATCCCCAATCCATCACACTTCAATTGAGTTTTGAATAACACTTGTATTAATAGGTGTGCAAATTTTACTATAATAACAGATTTTGGATCCCCTTCTTTTTGCAGCTCGTTGAAACCTGAAACTGTTAACCAGGGGAAATTTGTTTCTCATGAAATTATTATCTATCTTTTGCAAGAAAAATCTTCATAGCAAGGTGAATCAGGATTATTCTGGATGTTTTTTCAGTTACTGGAAAACAAGCGGTTAGTATTTTGCACATTTCTGAATTGACATGTGTTAGCTCTAAATTTCAGATATTTGCTCTAACAAGAACCTCATTGGTATGGAAAGGGGGACACTTTTTTTTATTAAATATGATGATTGTACAAGGACTAATATCTTATACTCTTTTTGTTATGTTGCATAAAAAATAAAGGTTAGACTTTGGATAATGGACTGGTTTCTGGTTAACATCCAAAGATTGTATCGCTTGCTGATGAAAAACCCCTGGTAATCTATTTATTGGTTATGGAAGTTATAAAAATTTTGTTCAAGCTTATAAGCTTGCAATTGTCTGCTGGTCATTTTAGAAATATCTATTGACATGATATTGTAAGTGTACAGGATCAAATGATGAATGCCCTGTCGAACAGGATCATATCAGATTTGTTACCTTAATCAAGTCCAAGCACTATGCATGTTTTGGTTTTGAACTGCTTAGGTTGGAGATACTTCTCAGATAGGAATCCAAATATCAGAGGTTGTCCTTGTACAAATTGTCAATCCAGAAAGAAACACAGTGGAAGTCAAGAGGAAGCAATGAAAGTAGATTACAAGCCTCGTCCTTATTGACCATCATATATTGTTTTAATGAAAATACTGCATTTTATTATGTATCTGATTGTTATTGTAAATGTTGCGAGGGATGTTATGAATGTGATACCATATAAAAAATGATGAGTTGGATAATGCCAGAGGAGTGACACAAACTGCCATCACAAGCCCACTAATTATGTATGAGTTTCCCGTCTTTTAGTGGTTCTTTCAGGGTAAATTCTTGGAGTGTTGATCTGGTTGATGCTTTACACCGTGCAACAAAGTTGACTGAATCCGAGAAAATGTTACATCATGAAAAGCACAACCATTATGTAGATCTCATCTCATAACGTTCCTTAATGGACGTATAGCTTTGCTCAAAGATCTAGAAAGTTTCTTTCTTACGTGAACTTTAAATTATCATCTTTTAGTTATTTTATTTAGAGTAAAATATATGTCCAGTTCTTAAACTTGTAGGGCGGTGTTACTTAGATCCCTAAACTTAAAAATTACATGTCAAGATTCATGAACTTGGTTTAATGTACCATCCCTTTCAATTGCCTTTTGACCACGTTTGACCGTCAACGTGACACGTCACGCAAGTAACACTTTTGCCCTTGGTCCCCTCTACACGTCACGCCACCGCTAACCTCGCCACACGGCACCGTCTCTTGCCACTAATCTCGCCGCCAAGGCCGCCACAACCGCTACCTCACCGCCTCCTGCCACTAACTCCACCGTCGAAACCCTAACGGCCAGGCTTGAGAAGGTATATGTGGAGGGGGCTGAGACGCAAAAGGGTTATCTGTGTGGTGTGCCACATTAGCGGCCGAATGCAATCAAAGGACGATTGGACTAGGGGTGATACATTAAACCAAGTTCACATATCTAAACGTGCAATTTTCAAGTTCACTGATCTAAGTGACACCAGCACACAAGTTTAGAGACCGACCATTTATTTCACTCTTTTATTTACATTATAAGTTCCCCCGTAATGTTAGTACGGGCATATTACTAGTTTTATTATAAATTAACCCCCTGATAAAACTTCTCTGAAACATACCTTAAACATAGAGCCATGAAATTTTGGCGCAGTTTATATGTAGCCTAGTGCTGCAAGACTTGGCGTCATGTGGGGTGGCATGTAGAACCTCTATGGCTTCATTGACCATCCTACAAGGCCGCCTGACGCCAAATACTTTGGTGCGACGCTATGAACCAGGGGTGGATACAAGACCTATAGATAGCCAAAAGGCCCAAGGCCCGGCCCACGGCACGGCGTTTTGGCCCGGCCCAAGCACGACACGGCCCGTCAAGGGTCGGGCCCGTGCCGGCCCGGCCCGACCACCAGGCCGTGCCTGGGCCTCTCCACCGGCACGGCACGATGGGCCGCAGGCCAGGCCCGACACATAAACAATACGGAGTAAAAATAGACATATTATATGCCACGGTCGAAAGAATAAGGATGTAAAATAGACTTATTTTAGCTATATATATGTCAGCCCAAAGAGGAGGGATGGAAAATAGACTTATTTTCACTATATATATGTCACAGCCCAAAGAGGAGGGACGAAAAATAGACTTATTTTCGCTATACATATGTCACAGCCCAAAGAGGAGGGACGAAAAATAGACTTATTTAGAAAAAGGCACAATGAGCCACCCGCGCCTTCGTGTCGGCCCGGCACGGCCTGACGGCTGGTGAGCCGTGCCTGGGCGGGAGGCGCAGCCCATGGGCCGGCACGGCCCAGCACGAAGTGCTGATCGGGCCGTGCCGGCCCGATGGATGGTGGGCCATGCCTGGCCATGCCTGGGCCGGGCCGGGCCGAGCGGGCCTTTTGGCCATCTATAACAAGACCCGACGACCCTAGGCAGCCGCTCGGACTCGCTGGCAGATCACGCAATTGTAATCGTAATCGTAAAATCTATAACCTGAGAACTGTTCCGTTTACAGGGTCTCCAACATTTACTGTCACTGAGGGTCCGTGTTTTTATGTGCCATTTGTTTGTAGTTTTCATATTTGTATTTAGCCTGAGACCTACTGCTTAATATTTTGAAGTACCAGCTATACCCAGCTATCAGCCTTGAAGGCGATAGAGTGTATGGTAGGTAAAGTCATATTAAGATAGGATTGATTTGTGTGGATTTTTTACATATATGTAATCCTTCCTTATCTCTTTCCCATGTATTCCTATATACACCGGTCCCCTGAAGATCCCCTGAGGCTCAATACAATCTATTCACGTTACGCAGTATATCTCAGAAGATGAATCTTGGCGATCACCTATGTTTTCTATGGCAGGTGATAATTCAAGTGTACTCAATCTAATGTTTTCAGCCTTTCCAGTTTCCATCTTTCTACTAAGGAATTATTTTGCCTCTATAGAAACACTGGTTATTTTGTAAAGCAACAATTCAACTACTATATAGCAACGTATATGTCAGGATTGATTGACCATATGAACATTTCTTTGGATTATGGTTTGAATGCCCATGGAAACTATTAGTACTAATCATTTCAGCAGGAACAAAGTATGGAGATGCAACACTTGCTTGGCACCTAGCTTAAGATATCCTTGCAGCAGATAACCAACAATAAGATAATAAAAGGTGAAAAATACGGGAAACATGTAGTGTATGAAGTGATATGCTCGCTCAGGGTGAAATTTCAGAAATAATTTCCCAATATTTTCAAGCAAAGAGACTTAACAGTTCCTCACCTCATCGAGGCAAAATTCACAGGAAGAAAAGGCAGAATTTTCCAGCAGACATAAGTACAAAAGTAAAAGCTGATTACAGCTACGAACTGCTTGATACAAAGCAAGATTAACCAATCTAACCTGAGGTGCAGATCGAGAGTATCTCGAAGAGCAGAGCTGGCGAGAGACGACCAGAGTATATGAGGTTTGAGAGACGTAAAGAAGCATATATATAAGCACAAATCCACTAGCCTCAAATCTCCGATCAAGGCCATGTTCAGTTCCAAAATAATTCTTCAAACTTCAAACTTTTTCATCACATCAAAACTTTCCTACACACATAAACTTTTCCGTCACATCGTTCCAATTTCAACCAAACTTCCAAACTTTCAATTTTGATGTGAACTAAACACAACCCAAATCTTTGTTTCTCTGAATTTTCTGAACTAGCCGCCGACGACTTGACGCAACCCAAATCCTTGTTTCTCTGAATTTTCTGAACTAGCCGCCGACGACTTGACGCGACGTCGACGCGGTAAGTGTTGTTGCAGACTTGCAGAGCTCATTATTATTTAGGGAAAATATGTGGTGAAAATCACATATACAGTGAAAACTTAAAAACTATCATTGGATCGAAAAATAGACGTATGAAATTCGTTCACGTCATCATTAATAAAAATTTTACTCACGGATCTATTTGTGAGTAAAAATACTACCGTGAGTCTACTATCCTGCAGCCTGCTCACTGGTCACGCTGTTCGCTGCATCTTGGCCATATAGTAAGCTACATGCCGTGTCACCTAAAGCAGTCGGTCAGTCCGTGTACTGAACACTGAATCTAAACTATAAAACCAAACATTCGACACCTCTCAACTTTCCAAACTATTCGAATAACGCTAGCGTTATTTTGGGCGGATTCAGCATGAGCTGATACATGTGGTCCGATTCCTGTGCCTTCATGAAAGAAAAATGCAAGGAAAAACGTACTGCAGGACAAAGGGCTGATGGTGAAGCATTGTACTGTTCATCGCCCAGTGGCCAAGTTGCGCTTACACTAGTACTCCAAGAAATTCAGATTTGAAAGGTCATACGCACAGCGTTCCAACCATCTTTTAAATAAAAACGCAAAAATAGTGATTCGTTCAGAGATGTCCATATGTGTTCCGTAAAGTAAATTCAAATGCTCCGTTATAAAAGGTTTAGAATCTTCAACTTTAGCACCACCTCTCCGGAAGGTTGAGGCTAACGGTTTCAGCTTCACCTTAGCGAGCTAGAGTGATCTTAAAAAAAAAAAAAGGGGCTGCTAACACGCATAGCTGCGCCGGGCAGGTGCAGAGGTACAATATATTAGGAGGGGGGGTTGCCCCAGGAACTCTATCAAGAAAACATTTTAGCTATACCTCACCTATTTTCACTATGTGTGCACCTCTCTCAATACAAACTTAGGTACCCGGATCAGTTTAAACTTAATCTAAAGTAGAGTAAATTAAGCAAGTAGCACCTCTCTATTTCATTCTAGCTCCGCCCTCCCGTGTCAGGAGAGAAGGCTGCACACACCCCGTGCGGCAGGCCCGCCTCTCCAAGTGATTAGCGGTAAGCATATTTTTTTAATAAAATAATAATAAACAATCAAGTTAAAAATTTTAAAGTACGAGTTGCATTGTTGAAAGTTGAAATTTGAAGTTCAAAATTTTAAATATGAGTTGAAAGCTTTTATAATTTGAGTTGAAAGTTTCAAACAACCCCTGCTAAATAGCTCTTCCGATAAAAATTAACTACAGAAGTGAAGCATTGTTATGGAGTTAGAGTTAGAACCATACCCAACAAACATGCCGCTTGTAGTACTTGGCTTGGGAATTTTAATTTTTTAATTAGAAAATTATAAAAAATAATTTTTTGTTTTACAAATTTACAGATCTACCCTCCTAACGCCATGTAGGTTTTTTAAGAAAAAAACACCCTTCTTGAGAGCGAGAAGGGTTTAAAATATTTTTTTATTTAGACCCTCTCGTTGGTTTTAATTACTAAAAAATAGAAATATTTATTTGATACTCTAAATATTTTTAAATGAGAAAAAGGGTAAATTATAAAGTTGTAGATCTCATTAATGTCTACAACTTTTATATAAAGCTTGTCTTCATCGGAGATCATTTGAAATATATATCTGAAATTTTATTAAAAAAATTCAGATTTTGTAACGAATATTTGTACACCTAAACGATCTTAAATAAAAAGGTTGCTAACCATAAAGTTGTAAATCTCCTCAAGTTCTACAATTTTGATATAAATTTTAGTTGCATCCGACTTCATATGACCTATTTTAAAATTGTAAAAATACAAGTTGATAAGTTGTACGGGAAATTTTGCATTTAAGCCCTTTGTTGCTCATCTAGAGAGCGTTTTCTTAAGAGAAAAAAAATAATAAAAAAAACGCCCTCCAAAGGACTGGAAGAGTGTAATCTCTAAACTTTTAAAACAAAAAACTATTTAATTTTTGTAAATATTCTAATAAACAAGAAAATAAAAATTTTAAAAATTCCTTGGCTCGGCTCCAGCTCCATTATCCTAGGGCTGAAGCAATGAAAAACAGGCCAAAATGCGCATCCTGCGAGCCCTTCATCCCAATCCACCGCCTGCTCTCTCAGCCCAACAGGCGCAGGCCCGGCCCAACCCATCGGGCCCTTCAACTCGCACCGCATACGGCCTTCGAGTCCTCGACTACAAAGCACAGCAGTGCCCAGCCCAGTGGCAAGGCCTCCACGGGGCTCTCGCCGGCGGCGGGCTCCGGCGCCGCCGCCCGTCCACTCCATCGCGCTCAGCGCCGCCGGCCGGGGGGCAGCTTCCGTAGCGAACGGCCACCGCCCGCCCACGCCCCCCCTCGCGCGGGCGCCGGCCCTCTTCTCGCCCTGGTAACTCCCCCCAGTTCACCGCTGATTCTGTCGATATTTTCGTGTACGCTGATGTGAGTAGAATGGAAATGCCATTGTTCATGTTTGTTGAGTATGGGGATACATACACATTCAGTTCAGAGCAAACGATTCTCGTAGTGCTCAGGAGTCTCAGGACTGCCATGTCACACAGAGCACATGGTCAGATAGCCTCTTTAGAGCAAGTTTAATAGTATAGCCAACTATTAGCTTCAAATCAACTATAGTCAATTTAATAACCAATTCATATACAATAGTTATCTATAAACATATATACTACACTAATTAATATATAGTCCCACCTGTCATACAAACATTGTGTCTTGGAGTCCGTGCTGCAGCTGGCTACAAATCTGTAGCCCGCTACTCTTCTCTCTCTTCTTTTATCTTCTGGATATGTGTTTATAGCTGGTTTATAGATGCAGAGTAGTCATTCAGACTATTTCAGCTAAATACAATACCAAAATCAAGGAAAGATGACTACACCATTGAACTCCGTTTGTCTCAGTTGTTTAGCATCTTTGTCCATTGCGCCTTATTTTCTGTCATCCTTTGCTGCTGAATCCCCCATCCCTTTGAACAGAAACCTGTCAGGAGAGCTGCTTGCTTGGAAAGCTAAGAAGAAATTTATTTCAGATGTGTGTTTTTTACTTCATCTTTTGTTCAAGAGTGTGTTTTATCATCTTGATCATTTAAATCGGGCAAGCAATTAAAATGTTTGAGAGTTAACTTTAGATACATTTGAATTTTTGCGGAGCGGAAGGCACCCCTGTATTGTGAATTTGTGATGGTGCCACCATTTCAATTGGTACTACACCAAATGTCATATGTTCAACAATGAAAGGACTGGTTTCATAAATTCTGCAAAGTTGTGAAGAAATAAAACTACAATAGAAAATATGACAAATGAGTTCCCTGATGGCTAGGATAGCCAATATTTCAGGACTTATTTCCAATAATGAGGTTGTGATGTAGTGGTGCAGCTAGCTCATCTGTCATAAACTGATCATTTGTTGGAGTGTGGCTGAACACAGACTCACCAGACAGATATTACGGCAAAAACAAGCAAGTTTCTAGTCCTTGACACGCAACTCTGGAACATGTTGCATCTTTTGTTGCATTCCATTTTTTTCCCACTGAGATCTGAAATTCTTATGCAGACCCAAAAGCCACAGCTTCTTCAGGTACCTAAGGGACTCAATGCCTTCAGGGATAGTGTCCAGCTTTGGGAGTGACACTACATATAAACCTTCAATATGCTGGAGGGCACCGCCTATGATCTCCAAGTGGTTTACATCAGGCATACGCTTCAAGGCGAGCGTCTTCAGCTGTGGGAAGCAACCTGCAGAAAGAACCAAGCTGCTTGCACTACTCACCCTGTTAAGTTTAAGATAGGTGAGGTTTGGCACATGTGGTGCTAGGAGGAGTAGAGAATCTTCCTGAAGATGGCACCAGCTTATGGCCAGATACTTGAGAAATTTCCCATGGTCACGAAATATTGGGGACTGTAGTGTCCCAGCTGCCCAGCACCCTCTGATAATCAACCTATGGAGATTTTCCGAACTTGGCTTGAGATTTTCCAAGCAAAGTGTCTCCTTCTCGTGACTTGCGGATAGAAGCAAGCTAGAAAGAAGCGGCATCTTTGATAGTGTAGCAAAAAGATTTGCACAGTCAGCAGCACTTATGTTGTCAATCCACACGCTCCGTAGTTGCATAAGTTTCTTCAGCTGCTCAGCCAGGTCCTTGCTGGCTTCCACTGTCTCAAGGGTCTGGAGTTCTTCCAGATTGGATAGCTCTTTAGGTGCTTGCACTCCAATAAAATACCGGAACTCTGACTTATTTTCATCCTCATATCTGTCAGCTAGAAGGTGCCGCAACTTCTTGACCTTAACGATGCCTCGTGGTAGCTTTTGTATTTTGGTTTGTTTGATGTTGAGAGTGTGGAGGCTGGACAGGTTCCCAATAGACTCTGGAAGTGACTTGACTCTAGTGCGTTGCAGGCCAATATAACGTAGATTAAACAAATTTCCTATGGATGCCGGCACTTCAGTTATTTCAGAGTCTTGTAGCTCGAGAACAGTAAGGTAGCTGGATTCAGACAAAATTGAGGATAACATCTGAGGGGAGGATGTTGTAATTCCAAGTGCCACTAGGGTCCTAAGACGCAGGAACTTAACTTTCAACATAGTTTTGTCTTTCCATCCACATGATGACAGGCGGCGAACTTCCCTGTTTGTCTTTACCATGGTGCCAAAATCATTTGCGTAACCGAACTTCTCCTCTTTAGCAATAGAAAGAGCAAGGTCCCGTACGAGATCATGCATCTTACACTTACTAACCCTGCCTAGCTCATCATATTCCAGAACTTCTAGCATATTCCGTTGTATCAGTTCCCGAAGATATCTTTCGGCCACCTCCTCTGGTGTGTTATGTTCTTTTTGCACTGCAAAGCCTTCTGCAACCCACAACCGTACAAGGGTCTCCCGTGACAACTCATGATCTTCAGGGAACAAACTACAATACAAGAAGCAGTTTCTAAGTTCTCCTAGTAAGTCCTGGTAGCTCAGATTTAGAATTGCTTGAACATGATTGTTGTTTGCTAGATCACTTCGTAGTTGCTTGTATGTTTCATTCCAGACATATTTCGTTGGCGGCATTGAAGACAACAGGCCACCTATAGATACGATTGCTAGTGGCAGTCCTTGGCACCTATCTACTATATCATCAGCCAGTTTCTCAAGCTCCTGCGGGCACTTGCAGCCCATGCTGGCATTGAAAGCCTTTCTACATAAGAGATCAAATGCATCATTGTGCTTCAATGGCAGGAGTTTGAGTTGCCGTGTTATGTTTGCTAAAGATGCTACCTGGTCCTGTCGTGTTGTGATGATTATGCGACTTGCTTTTTGGTTCTGGAATGCATCCCCTATCTGAGTGTATACTTCTCGGTTCCAGACATCATCCAATACAACCAAACATTTACTATCTTTTAATCTTTCCTTTATGGCACTTTTCAAGTCATGAGCGTCCAAATCTGCTAGCTGTGTATGTTCTAGAGACCAACATTTTCTCAACATTTTTCTCAGCAATTCAGCTATGTCATATTTTTGTGACACGACAATCCAATGATAAACGTTGAAGTTCATCTTTTCTTGCTCGTATACATTTGCAACCAGGGTGGTTTTTCCAAGTCCACCCATACCAGATACTGTTATCACTGTGCTGCCTTGCTCATCGGAGTACAACCATTTGGTCAATTGTTTCCTGTTATCTTCAATACCAACAAGATCATCTTGAACAAGTTCCAGTAGACAATCTCGAGATTGTTTTCTTTGAACATCAGCCAGTGGGTAGGGTGTAAGCTCAGACAGTTGCAGCCACCGATCTTTCCGCTTTACAGCATTCTCAATTTTCCCCTCGATCTGGGTAATCTCATCAGCAATTTCGCTGAAAACTTTGATATAATTAGCTTTGGTGAAGATTTGTTTCACAGCATTTTCTTCATCCAATTTAAGAGCATGATATGAATATTTATCAAGTACATCCTCAACACAGTGGGCCAGCTCTCGCACCTCAGCAATCCAGGCCTTGACATCATCTGTAAGATCGGTTGTACTTATCCTTTTTATAAAAGTGTTCATCATGTTCAGTTCTTTCCCTATTTCCTTAACCTTGACCGGCAATTCCTTCAGATTAGTAATCTTTTCAGATAGCTTGCTTATCACTGTGAAGGTGATTTCCTCTAATAAAACGGAGCCAATCTTTGAGACCACAAGCATTACAGCCTCTGCCATTTGTGCTGAACAAAAGAAAACAGTTCGTGTTACATGATTCAGCAGCAAATTGGTGTAAACTAGTAGAATCCAGGGGCAGGATGTTCAAACTTGAAACTGAAGTATTGGAAAAGATGAAACTATGAATTATGAACTTTTTATGACTGTGAGCAGGACCTTACAGCTACATATCAGGTTAATTAGCAAATTAGGATTCAGTCAAATAAAGCGTGGAGATTACCTAGCTGGAAAGAGATGAGGTTTGTTACTAAAATAGAGATAGAGATTGGATTGGTTTGTATAATATTACAGATTAATTCCTTGGATGCTAAGTCAGCCCTCCATATATAAAGGGACCCCATGTACCCCATTATCACCTAACACTGAATCTCTAAAGTCCAATAAGTCTCAGAGCCTCTCTTTGCTTTGAACGAGAGAAGCTCTGCTGGTGCTAACTGAGGGTGGACGTCCTATCCCCTGTTCTTCGGACCCTTACCCTATCCATGAATCAACATCCATAACGTATACTGTTACATAAAAAATTAAAGTTTGAACTTTGAATTCAATCCAAGTTATATGTTTAAGAAAAATATAGATAGTACTGGTGATTATGCTGGTGCTTTTTGATTCAGGTACTGGGTAAGATCAATGTTGCAAAAGAGAATTGAAAGGTACTATCCTTTGACTGCTCTCCTTTTTACTTGTTGATATTCTTGAATATATTTGTTATGTACTCTACAGTACTACTTGGTTATTCTGGTTTGTAAAAAAGAAAAAAATAACACAATGATGATCACACATCAGACATATTTGATCACTTTTGGTGGATATAGCTGATACTTGAGAACTGTTTTGTTTGAAGCGCCTGCAACACTCGTAATTTCATCAGGTAAATAGTTTTGGACCATTTATGGTGTTATATGTCACTGAAGGTAAGCATTTTTGTGCCCGTAAAGTTCATAATTTTCATTGTATTCGTTAGCTGGAGAGACCTACTTCTTATTGATTTAAATCCCAGTGCTATGATTTCTTCTACTAATTGAATGAATTATGTCTTAATTGTCTTGTTGGAAATCATCTATGTTTTCTTCAAGAGGTGATGTTACCATGTTTCCCCAATGATTTCTGCTATTTCATCTTTCTTAACAAACTGCTTTCTTGTTCGTAACAAGATTGTTATTCTTATGCATTATCAGGTGGACCTACTTATCAAAAGGTATATATATTCTTTATCCAAAGTAGGAAATTAACTTTCTTAGAAGTGCAAAGCAAAGGATGATAATGTTGCCTAAATTCCAATATAATATTTCCTTTCATATCTAAGGTTATGGACGAATTTCTCAACCAAGCGGCCATAACCTGTTCTGTTTGTGGTGTGGAATTATATAGTGTCCAAGTTCATCATGAACCAATCCTGAAGGGTCCTTACTGGAGGAATGGCATTTGCGGTCATTTCCTGTTCTGTTTAATCCAGAAATAGTGCTGGAGATGGGGAAGTCTATTGCAAGATGGTGATCCTAATCCATTTTCATTTCTAAGCCTGTGGCAAACTGTTGCTCCTTAAAAATTGTTATGTTCATTGAAAGACCCTGGTTCTATTGGAAGAGGTATTGCATGGTGCAGTCTTATTTTATACTCCCTCCGTTTCACAATGTAAGTCATTCTAGCATTTTCCATATTCATATTGATGCTAATGAATTTAGATATTCACAATGCAAGTCATTCTAGCATTTTCCACATTCATATTGATGCTAATGAATTTAGATATATATAGATATTAGCATCAATATGAATGTGGAAAATGCTAGAATGACTTACATTGTGAAACTGAGGAAGTAGTTTATAGCTGTCTTTTACCCTTAGGGAATTAGTAAAATCAATCCTTTCTGAATGTCATGGAAATTAGTCATTGTTTCCCACCAATCTGAACTTCTCAAGTGGTTGGATCTTACCCTCTGCCTAGCCAAAAAGCTTTTTAAAGTTCAAAGCAGTTTCATATCTAAAGACACGACCATTGGATGTACTTGTGGGTTCAGAACTTCAAATTTCTTTATACCAAGATGTAGAATGGTTATTTTGGTTGAATCCTTTACTGGTGCAATGCTCTATTTGTAGAAATGCTTTCTTTACAACAGAACTTCACTGAAGCTCTGAGGCTTGTGTTTGTGTGAGAGTTGAACTGAAAATAAACTGATGTTTTTTGGACAATCAGTTAATGTGGCCTCTGCTAAATGCATGAGCATCAGCAGTTTAGCCAAGGACCCAGGAACCAAGTTGGCATGTTTCTATCTCTTTATGTCGCCAAACTAATTTATCCTGTAACATTTATTTTATTCTGTAACATTATGCTTTCACCCAAGTACAGGGTGATGTAAAACTACATTGCAGTGAAATTATTAGGATTGTTACTAATGAGAATTCTTTATCTAAACTGAATCAGATGGCCGTAGCAACTCGATATAACATGGGCCACAGAGAAATAAATATATGAGAGGATGCAAACATTTGAGACTGATCACCTCGTGGGGGCTTGACTTGAGCTTGTAGTTATAAGTATTATTGCAGCAGATGGCGAAATAATGTGATGAAAACCCTGCACCAAAGTTAAAAACAAAATATTATTCTTCCAACAAAACATCAGAAGTAAACAATGTGATGTTGAAATTGATATAGTTATACTGCCAGCATATACAGAAATCTCCAAAATGCAGAACTAGACCAAAACAAAAAAGAAAAAAAGCTCGCTTTTGGCGGTGAGAGGATCGACTGTTATTTTTTTGGAACAAAAAGAACTGTTCACTGCTGTTCTATGTGATGCTCGCTCAAATTCATAACGAATCCCCAAGATTTTCAAGCAAAAAAGAACTGATAATCTCTAATCCCAGGAGGAAAATTCTCGCCAGAAACTGAAGAACTTTCAACCAGACCAAAAAAAAAGAAGGAAAACTATTCGAGATCTGAGAGTCTCTAAGGCACCAAAAAATATACAAGAAGATTCAGTACAGATCTTCGAGCTAGAGCTGCAAGCAGCAAGAGATAGAATCTCACCTGTAAATCAGAACAAGGGTCTTCTTTCGTCAGCTAATCCATCGAAGCGCAGAGCTAGTCAGATGATGATTTCTGGAGGTCGAGAGGCTACTCCCCTCTCTCTCCCTCGCCTTGATCTGAACTTCTTTAGCCTGCGACGACTTGAGACCAAGTCCCACGCGCTTAGCAGCATCCACACTGAACTAGCAGAAGAAACCGCTGCGAAAGTTCAGCCAAAATTTCCAGGAAGAAGCCTAGAGAAGAGATATCCACTACCGCAGTCAATCTGAGCCGTCGGTTGGACGGCTCAATGGCCAGATTTTGTCAAGTTCATCTGGGCCGGGTCAACACTCAGCAGCGAGGTCAACGACTCAACGTCGTCAATTATTTTCTTTTCCTTTTCTTTTTTTTTATTTGACAAAATACTCGGTTACTATAATGGGCTTAGTAGTGTGGGCCGGAATTCACTTGTGGGCCGCTCTATAGCAGGCCGAAACCCAACAAGCGCTCGCCGGCGACGGCATTTTTCACGGCGAGCGTTTTCTGGAGTCTCCGGCGGCCGGCGAGGTGGGCTGCGCCGACGCTTCTGGCCAGATTCGCCTGGTAACTCACCGATTCAATCTATCGGATTATTTGCTTGGATAGCTAGCCCAATTCGTTGGTTGCGTTTCAGATGTTTGAGCTAGGTGGTATATTGATGTGGTAGCGAGTTCAGTTTTGTCAAAATTTCAGTTCTGTAGATACTGTTCTTCCTTCCATGTTCATGTGGGGATTTATGCCCTAAAATACATATGGCACTTTCAACACAAAGAGAGTTCATACAGTACTAGAGCAATGAATTAGTGCCTTTAGTGGTGGCATGCCATGTCGTATTGAGGGTTGCCCACTGCTCATACTGTTTCAGTATAAAACTTTACATCGGCTTTATCAATAGGTTTGTTTATTATTGCTTTGAGTGTTTCACCGAATTTTCGTTTGCCAAAGTATATATGTTTGAAATGCTAGGAGGCTAGATCTGTTTTTGTCTCTGAAATTTGATGTTGCAATCCTGCTTTCCTACAGAGGAGTGTATTGCTGCTATCGTCCAACAAACAATATATAAAGGGATGCTATGAGATCATTATGTAATAAATCCATGTCAAAATGGGAAGAAAGGATCATTATTCATATTAAACAGTGCGCTACCTGAAACGGATTTAAGAACTGGAAGTGAAACACAAGGCAAAGACCCAAGGAACTTCAGGTCGTGACTCCTGATGGCAAAGAGACTAAGAGAGTCGATATTTCATGACTTGTTGAAGAAAAATATGAACCAGATGTACAGATACCAAGTACACCAGAGCCAATGTCTTTTTAGAGAGGATTGGGTGAATGCAGATGCACTTTTCAAGTTATTCATCGAAGGAAGATGTAGCACACCACTCCTAAACACGCAGATCTGGAACATGCTGCATTTTCCGGTGCATTTCTCTATGAATCCAGTCTGCTTTGAAGTCTTGATGCAGATTGAGAAGCCAGAGTTTCTTCAGGGAGAAAAGGTTTTCAATGCCCACAGGGACTCTCTCCAGCCCTGCCAGTGAATCGATGTATAAACCTTCAATGACTGGAAGTGCATCATCTGCGATCTTCAGCCGGTTGACATTTGGCATGAGCTTCAAGACAATTGTCTTCAACTTGGGAAAGGATCCTGCAGTAATGATCAACCTGTTTGCACTATTCATGTTGTTAAGTCTCAGGTATGTGAGGTTTGGAACATGTAGCCCGAGCACTCGAAGTGGATCCTCTCCAAGTTGGCACCAACTTAGAGCTAGGTACCTGAGATTTTTACCATGTTCCTGAAATATCGGCAATTCCAGTGTCCCAGTGGCCCACTGCCCTCGGACAATTAGCCTATGGAACATCTTGGATATTGGATTGAGATTTTGGAAGCAGAGTACCTCCTTCTCATCACATGCAGAGAGAAGCAGGCTTGAAAGAAGTGGCATCTTGGACAGAGCAGTAAAAAGCTTTGCACAATTAGTAGCACTGATATTATCAATCCACAAGTTTTGCAGTTTCGTCAGCTTCTCCAGCTGTTCTGCTAATTCCTTGCTGGCTTGAACAGTTTCAAGAGTCTGTAGTTCTTCCAAACCAGATAACCCTTTAGGAGCTTCCACTCCAATGAAGTATCGGAACTCTGTCCGTTTCTCATCAGCATATCTGTCAGCTATAAGGTGCCGCAACTTCTTGACCTTAACAATTCCTCGTGGTAATTTCACTATTTTGGTTTGCTTGATATCTAAAGTTTGCAGATTAGAGAGATTCTCAATACATTCTGGGAGCTTACTTACGTTGGTGCGTCTTAAGCCAATGTACCGCAGATTAAACAGATTACCTATGGATGTCGGCACTTCACTGATTTCAGAGTCTTGCAGCTCGAGAACACTAAGGTAGTTTGATCCAGAAAAAATTGAGTTCAGCATGCTGGTGGAGGATGAAACTGCTTGAAGGGACAATAGAGTTCGGAGGTGCGGAAATGACACCCTTGGTGCGCTATCATCTTTCCATCCACATGTTGAGAAGCGACGAACTTCTGTATCCAGCTGCGTCATTGTGCCATTATCACTTGCTGAGCCAAACATCTCCTCTTTAGCAACATCAAGAGCCAGGTTGCGCACAATGTCATGCATCTTACAGGTACTCACCCTGCTGAGCTCATCATTCTCAACAACTTCCAACATATTACGGTGAATGAGTTCCATGAGATTTCCTTCAGCTACATCCTCTGGTTTGTTACCATCTTTTCTCACTACAAAGCCTTCTGCAACCCATAATCGCACAAGGCTCTCCCTTGACATGGAGTAATCCTCAGGGAACATGCTGCAATACAAGAAGCAGTTTCTTAGGTCTCCTGGCATGTCGTGGTAGCTCAGATTTAGGATCGCCCGGACATGATCATTTTTTATCATCTCATTTCTAAGTTGGCTGTATGTTTGATTCCAGGCATATTCTGTTTGTTTCCTTGAGGACAACAGGCTTCCCATAAATACAATCGCTAGCGGTAGACCTTGACACCTCTTGACTATAGAAGTAGCCACCTCCATAAGTTTGGCTGAGCGGACGAGGAAGTGGGAGGAGGAGAGGAGGAGGAGCGCCGAGAGGGCAAGTCCCCGGCGGTTCCTTCCGGCAATCGGCGAGGTGAGGCCAAGCAGAAGGCCCCCGCCGAGGACATTGATGACGGCGATGATGACCTAGGCTTCCAAGAGCCTGGGGCCACCATTGCCACCGTCGATGGGGGAGCGTGCGCTCACGTTTCTCGCCGGAGCCTCAAGGCCATGAAGCGAGAGCTTCTGGCCGCGGCCCCTACTCATGAGGCGACGCGCCGGGCGCGGTGGTCGGAGGTTGCCCTCACCTTCGACCAGACCGACCACCCACCGTGCGTTGCCCGGGGAGGGCAGATTGCAATGGTGGTTTCCCCCACTGTTTGCAACGTGAAGCTGGGGCGTGTCCTCATTGATGGAGGAGCAGCCCTCAACATCCTTTCCCCCGCGGCCTTTGACGCCATCAAGGCCCCGGGGATGGTGCTCCGGCCGTCCCAGCCGATTATCGGTGTGACGCCGGGTCACACTTGGCCGCTAGGTCATATCGACCTCCCGGTCACCTTCGGTGGATCCGCCAATTTCCGCACGGAGCGGGTGAACTTTGATGTGGCGGACCTCAGTCTGCCCTACAACGCGGTCCTGGGGAGGCCCGCGTTGGTGAAGTTCATGGCGGCGGTCCACTATGCCTACCTCCAGATGAAGATGCCGGGCCCCGGTGGCCCCATCTCTGTCCATGGCGACCTCAAAGTCGCGCTCGCTTGTATGGAGCAGCGTGCGGACCACCTCTCCGCCGCGTCCAAGCCCGAGGGTGGCGACGAGAGGCTTGGCACCTCCGTCCCCACCGCCCCGAGGCAGCGGATGATCACATGTGACGAGGTCCCGGTCAAGGAGGTTGCCCTGGGCGACGGCCCGTCCAAGACCACTCGGATTGGTGGTCTTCTGGACGGCAAATAGGAAGACGCGCTCGTCTCCTTCCTGCGGGCAAACGCTGACGTCTTCGCATGGAGACCGGCGGATATGCCCGGGGTCCCCAGGGAGGTGATTGAGCACCGTCTCGCCGTGCTGCCGGGCGCAAGGCCGGTTCGGCAGAAAGTGCGGCGGCAGGCCCCCGAACGTCAAGCCTTCATCCGCGAGGAGGTGGCGCGACTTCTGGAGGCCGGATTCATCCGCGAGGTCATCCATCCGGAGTGGCTGGCGAACCCGGTGGTCGTTCCCAAGGCGAACGGCAAGCTTCGGATGTGCATCGACTACACCGACCTTAACAAGGCATGTCCTAAGGACCCTTACCCCCTGCCTCGCATAGATCAGATTGTCGATTCCACAGCGGGGTGCGACCTTTTGTGTTTTCTAGATGCATATTCTGGTTACCATCAGATTCGCATGGCTAGGGAGGATGAGGAAAAAACTGCGTTCATTACCCCCATAGGAACTTATTGTTATACGACAATGCCCTTTGGGTTAAAGAATGCAGGTCCTACTTTTCAACGTACTACTCGAATTTCTTTGGGTAGCCAAATAGGACGTAATGTTGAAGCTTATGTCGATGACTTGGTTGTAAAGACGCGCAACCAAGAGACCTTACTCTCAGATCTAGCGGAAACTTTTGAGAATCTCCGCTCCGCCCGCATAAAACTGAACCCCGATAAGTGCGTGTTCGGTGTACCTGCGGGCAAGCTTCTCGGGTTCTTGGTCTCTGCCCGAGGCATCGAGGCCAACCCCGAGAAGATACGAGCTATAGAGCGGATGCGCCCCCCAGCAAACTTAGGGATGTGCAATGCGTCACTGGTTGCATGGCCGCCCTAAGTCGGTTCATATCGAGGCTGGGAGAGAAGGCGCTACCCTTATTCAAGCTCCTCAAACGCTCCGGGCCGTTTACTTGGACGGAGGAAGCTGAACGTGCCCTCACTCAGTTGAAGGCGTATCTCAGCTCTCCCCCAGTTCTGGTCGCCCCGGAGCCAAATGAGCCTTTGCTACTCTACTTAGCGGCGACCCCGCAAGTAGTTAGTGCAGCATTGGTTGTGGAGCGCGATGAGGACAATCCTCATTCCACGCATCCCCACCCTGTGCTAGCTTGGCCCGGGAGAGAGCAGGGAGGAGAGGCCCCCGAGCCGAACGATGGCCCAAGGCCCCCGACGACCGGAGCTGGCCCTCTGCCCGCTTGTCAGATGGTGCCAGGTGCCCCCGACCCCCAGGATGGCCCGGCGGCCACTGCGGGAAGGCCGCACCTATCGCCCTCTGACCCCGAGGCTAACCCTGTGCCGACTCGACCCGGGAGAGAGCAGGGAGAAGAGGCCCCTGAGTCGAACGGTGGCCTAAGGCCCCTGACGACCGGAGTTAGCCCTTTGCCCGCTTGTCCGACGACGCTAGGAGCCCCCGACCCCCAGGATGGCCCCGAGGCCACTGTGGGAAGGCCGCCCCTGTCGTCCTCCGACCCCGAGGTCATCGGCACAGAAGACGAGTGCGCCCCACGTGGCCGCTTGGACGAAGAACGCCCCAAGAACGCAGCCCCTAGCGGAGAGGGTCGGCCCCACCGAAAGGTGCAGCGGCCTGTCTACTTTGTTAGTGAGGCCCTCCGGGACGCCAAGACCCGATACCCTCAGGCCCAGAAGATGCTTTACGCTATTCTGATGGCTTCGAGGAAACTGCGCCATTATTTCCAGGCGCATCGGGTCACAGTGGTTACGTCTTATCCCCTCGGCCAAATTCTCAGAAGAGATTGAATGAGTCAGTGTTGCCTAAAGGTTGGAGCTCAAGGCGATATTTTGAGGATGCAAGAGCTGCCACATCTTCCTTCCTTGTCGTGATGACAATCCGACTTTCCTGGAGATTCTGGAATGCATTGCGCATCATAGTGTATGCTTCATGGTCCCATACATCATCCAGTACAATCAAGCACTTGCTATCTTCTAACTTTTTCTTTATTTTATCTGTTAACTCATAAACATCCATTTTATTCATGTTTGCAGCTGGTGATTGCTCTCGGTATGCAACCTTCATAAGTAGAGTGCGCAGCAATTCTTCCACATCGTAGGTCTGCGATACAACAATCCAAGCATGAGCAGGGAAGTTTCCCTTTTCCCGGTCGTACACATTTTTTACCAATGTAGTTTTTCCCAGTCCACCCATGCCGAACACTGTTATCACTGTACCATGCGGCTCATTGGAATACAGCCATCCAGTCAATTTTCTCCTATTTTCTTCAACCCCCACAAGGTCTTCATCTTTAATAAATTCTGGCAGGCAGCCTCCAGATATTTGTCTCTCAATATCATCAGGTGTATTTGTACTCATGAGCTCTGCCGAAAGAGACCATTTCATTAGATCTTTAACATGCTTGATCTCTTCTTCCATCCGGACAATTTCGTCAGCAATTTCATCAAAAATCTTGATATATTGTGCTCCTTTCACAAACTTCTTCATTTTCCCATCTTCCTGCATTTGATGAGCATGATACAAGTACTTATCCATTACATCCTCAACATGGTAGGCCAGCTTGCGCACCTCCGCAATCCAACCCTTGACGGTATTTTTTCTGATATCTGCTGTGCCCAAATCTTGTATTACATTGTTCATCATCTTCAGTTCCTTTTCTATTCTTGTTACATTCCTTGGCAGATTTTTCAAATTTGTTACCTTTTCAGACAGTTTTGCTAGAACAGCCTTGGTGGCTTCTTCTCCTAAAGTGGTACCAATCTTTGAGATGGCAAGGATTACTGCCTCCGCCATCAGTGCTGAAGAACAGAAACATGGAGTCAGTCTTTTATGTGATATGCTAACAATTAAGAATATCAGGCAAGAACATCATCTGATTGAATAGATCTGATCCATGTATTATGTGCTTTACAGATGATGGAAATAAGGAACACATAAGCCAAACAACATTTAATCCAATGCATGTAAAAAAAATGAAACAAAATCCAAAAGCAGTAACAGTCAAATACAGTTTCCAGCGAGATGCAAGCACAATGAATATATAAATTCATTTTGAAATTAAATTGGAGCTATCTCTTCTGTATACTGAAATTAGTATATGTGAGTATTAAAAAATTATTTACCGTAGGTTTGTGCTATATAAGTTCCCTAGGTTATTTTACATTAGGTCAGTATTATGCAAGGTTACACATTGTAACGAAATTCAGGTTTAGTTTTGAAACTCCAATGTATTATATAGAAATCAATAACAAACTAGAAATTAAATGGACTGCTCTAGGCAAGACCATTTCATTCTAGAGTCATTATCCATGCTAGTTTCATAAAAAAAAGTACCAACACGATTAAAAAAATACATAATAATCTGAATTTCTCTGGAATATCTAAAACTCCAGCAAATTAAACATACCCATGTTAATTGGTACCAGCAAGAGCTGGCCATGTGGTTTTCTATTTGTACAAACGGGCCCATCTATTTCCATTGAAATTGTTAGCGTAGATTCTTGTAAAGGTTTGAGAGTTGATGCATATTTGTTATTACATAACTGGTTCATAATAATTAGATCGGGTATTTCAAATCATTTACTTGGGAGGTAATTTTTTTTGTTTTCCTTTTTTACATATGCCGTACATGCATACAGAAATATCTAATTATGAGACTCCCTGATGGTAGACTTTCAGAAATATTTTAATAAACTAAATTACTTTCTGGACCTTGATTCACTTGCTCCCTAGTGTTTGAGCTGCTGCCTGCTGATGCTTTTCACATAGTTATTGAATTTGATCATATTGGTTACAACTGCTCATTGAAAAAGTGAACTGAGGCCCTCGTGTCCTCCCAATTTTTCCCTTTCTGATGGTGCTCCAGAGGTGCTTTACGTTCTACTTTTACATCAAAGGCTCCTGTACTTTCCCAGTTACCCTGCTTTCCAATATCATGGTTTTCTTAGCCGTAAAAAAAAAAGTATCATGTTTTTCACATATTAGTAGTAGGTAAAGTTGACGCTCATGAGTTATTTCTTATGAAAACATGTGATACGATCTTTTATTTCTTCATTAGCTGAAATGCCTAAACAATTTTATTTCTTAATGACTATAGGTATTTTTTTGTCTCTGCTTCAGCAATTCGATATTTTTGTCTGGATTACTTTCTTGTCATTAGTAGTATGGACCTTGTCAGCCAAAGATATGTCTGGTGATAATATTATTCAAAAAGGAGGATTATGAGTTAAGAATCATGTTGTGCTAGCTAAGATTTTAGATAGATTTTTCTAATGACGTGGATTCAAAATCCACTGAAGTATGCATCTTATCATTTTTCTTTTTTTTGCAAAATTAGTGACAAGCCGGTGTGCTTTCAGATTATTCTCTCACATTTATCTTGTCTTGCTGAAGGCACCTGGACACTGGTTTCTGTTGGAGTAATGTTTCAAATTGGCTTTCCTCAATAATATCAGGTCCTTAATCCCTTTGTCTTTGACGCTTTAAAACATCTATGTTCTCTGTGATTTACTATCTTCAGTTTGAAGTTATTTAATGAGATGTGGACATAAATATGAGGTCAAGAACACCAGAAGAATGCACTCACACTTTAGCAGGAATAACTTCATTCACAGAAGAGAGAGAGAGAGAGGCTATTTTACTATGCCAAACTATTTTCCGGTGCACGTAACCTCCGAACTATTTTTTGGTTCACCTTATTCCCCGATTATTGAAAATGGCTCACTTTACCCTCTACTTTTTGACGATATTTGTCTTTAATGTTTTTCTTTCTACAAGATGTATTTTAAGTTGAAATTTCGGAGATGAAATCAAGAGGTATCCTCTACTGCATCCGTCTAAACGGTTGAAACCGTGGCTGGATTTTGTTGTTGTGTTCATCCGGTGAGGTTTAAACTAGGCAAGTAGATGCCACTGAGGGGAAAACCACGTCAAATCTTCGATTTTTGCAAGCATTAAAACCCACAAGCCCCACAATGCCAAGAATTTTCCATCAAACATAGACATAAAAGCACCAAACCAAAAGATACAAAGCAAGATTCAGTACAAATCAATCTAACCTGAGCTGCAGATCAAGAGCCCGTCTGTAACAGCAGATGAGCTGGTGATACTACGCCTTGCCCTGACGATGAAGGATGAGAGGTTCAGAGAGGCAGCAAGGCAGGTATAATGCCTCTCGGTCTTGAAATCTCAATCAGATCCTGTCAGTTTGGTCGCAATTTCTGAGAATCAGTCACCGACGACTTGACGCGCAGTCTACACGGCTAAGCGGTTGCAGTGCCATTGTCGTCCAGTGGCCAAGTTGGCGCGTATAAGACATGAGTCCACTGTGGATGTTTCCTTCCATGAAATTTCTGGTTTTTATGATTTATATGTGCAGCGTCCGAGCTTTTCTAATCACATCCTGTGCGTTATAACGGGTCAAACCTATATAATTAAAGATAGGCATGTTTTAACGTATGATACTCACGTAGTTAGGTACTCCCTCTGTTTCACAATGTAAGTTATTCTAGCTTTTACTACTTTCATATTGATGTTAATGAATCCATCTAGATTCATTAACATCAATATGAATGTGAAAAATGCTATAATAACTTATATTACGAAACGGAGGAAGTATGTGCTATGAAAAAGAGAGGATGGAAGATGATTGAAGGAGATGGAAGGAAGAGGATTCCACTTTTACAGTAGTATAGTTAGAGGCATGTAAAAGTTGAAAGAGTTATTGTGCAGTAAGAGAGAAGATATGGAAACACTTTAAAAAGGCGTCAATAATTCACATGGAAATGAAAATAAGCTAATGGAGAGGACGGTAAGTAGGTCATGACATATTTTTTTTCTATAGTCCACTACGCAAATTAGGATATCAAATTTTCTATAATTGTGTCGCCACATTTTTGTCTCAGTTAATTTTTTACCCATCGGATTGAAGTTGATGTCCGTGTGCACCGTGCTTGGCTGTTTCATATTGTAAAATCAAGGGAGAATAGCCCATTTGATTCCTAAAGTTTCGCCTTAAGTCAATATCGTCCTTGATATTTTATTTTGTTCAATTAGATCCTTGAATTTTATTATATGGTCCAATATGAACCTTAGCCCTACCAGAAACGCCATGTAGAAATGCCATGTCATGATCTTATTAAAAATGGATGGTGAAATATATAATTTGTCCATTTATGTGTGATACGAAATACTATAACTAATTTTATATGATTATATAATTTAATCTAATCCTAGGAATTGATACATACACAAAATTGATTATGTTGCATGTATTGATAGATAAATCAATATATTTGAGTATTTGCAAATGTAAGAGTGTGTGACATTTTTCCTTTTTCTCTCTTATGTTGTATGTAAGGGTATATTAAGCATTTCATGACAGATTTGTATAAGATGATGAGATGGCATGCCTACGTGCCCTTTTTATAGGTCCAAGGACCATAGTAGACTCAAAGATAAGACTCCGAGAACTAATTCGAGCAAAATAAAAAAAATCAAGAACTATATTGACCATGAAAGTTTAAGGACCAAATAGGCTATTCCCCTAAAATCAACCAAATAAGGAGCCATTAGTTGTCGGTTTCTCGATTACACGTCGTCAGTTTCTTTTTCCTTTCTTATTTGGTAAAATATGCGGTTGCTATTTGTATAGACTCTATACAGAATAAGTTCATCGGAGGTCCCTTAACTTGTCAACAATCCGATTTTCGTCCCTCAACCGGAAAACCAGACACAACAGGTCCCTCAACTATCAAAACCGTGCAGATGAGGTCCCTCGGTGGTTTTGAGGGCGGTTTTAGCTGACGTGGCGCCTACGTGGCTAATTTGACTCGGTCTTCATATGACGTGGCGCTTATGTGGCAATTCGAGCCGAAAAAATAATAAAACCCATGGGACCCACGTGTCAGTTCACATACAAAATAATTAAGAAAATGGTGGGACCCACGTGGCCCCACATGTCATCCTCATTCCCTCCTCCTTTCTCTCTCCCCTCTTCTCGACGCCGACGCTTCCCATCCACGCATTCCTCGCCGCGGTGGCCGCCGACGCCGACCCACCTCGCGTCGTCCTCGTCTTCGGCGGCGGGTCCAGCCGCGGCGTACAGGTCGCCAACGCCGGCGGGGTCTACTCCACCGATGTCGCCGACTACGCTGTCGGCCTCCTGTTCGACGTTCTCGGCCACGTCTCCGTCGGAGACCGCTACGTCCGGCGTGGCCTCTGGCCGGAGCGCGGTGATTTCGTCCCCCTCGGATCCAAGATCGGCGGGAAGCGAGTCGGCATCATCGGGCTGGGCAACATCGGCTCGGCGATTGCGAGGAGACTGGAGGCGTTCGGCTGCGTCGTCTCCTACCACAACCGCCGGTGAAGGGAGGACGTGGTCTACACCTACTTCCCGACCGCCACCGACCTCGCCGCGAGCTCCGACGTGCTCGTCGTGGCGTGCACGCTGACGGCGGAGACACGGCACATCGTGGACCGGGGCGTGCTAGACGCGCTGGGGGAGCTTGGCGTGGTCGCCCGCTTCTGCTATGGGGAGCAGTTGGATCTCCATCAGGTTGCAGGCTTGCAGCTGCAGATGCAGATGCAGATGCAGATAAAAAGATCGAGGTGAAATTTCTGATGACATGCATCAGCTTTGGTTGTGATTCCTTCTCCCTTCTCTTGTTCTTGGGTAGACATGGCTGTCAACCGAAGCTGGTCACGGACGGCGGAGAGACGAAGTCCTTAACCTTCGCCTCCGTGAATTTCCAGGTGCGCTCGGGCCTGGTTGAGTATTTCCCAGCCCGGGCCGCAAACGACCGCTGGGCAACTGGGTGGTCGCAGTGCTGGTTCTACCTCGATGTCGGGGTGGACTCCGGGCTGGCTTCCACCAACAAGATCTACTTCCGCCACCTCCCGGAGGTCAATGCGGACGACGAAGACCTCGACCCGCTGCACCAGTCTCTCCGCAGGATGGCGAAGTGGCTCAGCATGCCGGACCTGACGGAGGAATTCGTCATGCTTCGGATCATTCCGCTCTGGAATGGCTGGGTCCACGACCTTACTTCGGGAGACGAAGACAAGGCCGGGGCCTATGTGGGCCCGGTGACCTCCTCAAGTAAGGCGCTGCTCCGGGTGCTCCGTTGATGAAAAAGGAGATCCCTTTTTCTGACTGCGCTCCGTTTTTGTAGCTTTGCTGACGCCGGTCTCTACGGCCATTACGGAGGCCGAGAAGATCCTTGGGAAGCCGGTCGTAAAGGAGAAGCAAGAGCGGACCGAACGGACCAGCTCTTGGGAGAGGACCAACCGGGTGGCAGCCCGGTTCAACTTGCAACTTCCGGCCCTCCCGTCCTTGAGCGAGGCCGAGGTGGAGGCCGAGGTGGCAGAGGCCGCCAAGTCCACTGGCAAGCGGAAAGGTTCACGAGGCGGTGGCGGAGGCTGGCGCACTAAGCGGACCAGGGGAAATGATTCCCCAATCCCGGCAATTCCTCTCCGGGCTGTGGCTCCCAACTATCTGCACTCGTAGGCTTCTAGCAGCCCGACGGCGGCTGCAGACGTGGTTTCTTCCTCCGCCGACCCCATCGTGATTCCCGCAGACTCCGAGGGCTCGGGGGAGTCTGCCTGGACAACCGCGTTTCCCGGTATTTGGCTCTCTTTCTTTTTTCTCCTTTTCTTAACTTATGTCTGACACAGGTGGGGGTTCGGGAGTTGCTCCGGGCGCGGAGGAATCATCCCCGCCTACTCCGGTGACTGTTCCTGGCTCCGATGGGGGAAACCAGGGGGCGGTGAACACCGGCGCTACGGCCGCTCCGGAGAGCCACGGGGGTGAGCTCTGGACACCTGCGGCCTCAGACGCCCCTGCTGCCCAAGTGGTTTTAGGGCCGAGCCCAACACATGGAGCGCGCACCGAAGCGCACTACAGGATGTATGTCATTTAAAGGCATTTTGTGGAAGGCATTTCTTTAAAACTGCCTCAAATCATCTCTTTCAAAGGCAATTTTCATAAAATGCCACAAAAAGTATCTCTATACATGGCAAATTTAATTAATGCCTTCAATACTTTTATCATTAGAAGGCGTTTTAAAGAAAAACGCCTCAAAAACTCTGTGCTTTCAAGGCATTTTCATTAGCGCCTTAGAAAATCTCCTATTTCAGGCGTAATCACGGAACGCCATAAATTTTAAAATCGCCAGGGTAACAGATAGAAGGCACTTTTGAGAGAAATTCCTCCTAATCTATACCATATATGCAAAAAGAACCCTGAAAGAATTTAAGGTATAAAAATTAGTCCTTCCACCACACGTACGCTACCTTATCAGATCCGAATCAGAATAGATCGATCAGATCAGATCGAAAAAAAAAAATCTCACGCGGCTAGCGAGCGCGCGTGATCGACTCCCGGCCGCTGCCCGGTGACTCGCCGCCGGCGACCGCCCGGCACCCCGCGCGCCCGCCCGTCGCCCGTCGCGCCATGCCGCCGTCGACGGTCGAATGTCGCCCATTGCGGCGTCGCCCATCTCCGCATCGGCGCATCGCGCCGTAGCGCTGCCCGTTGACCTAGCTCATAGGGAGATTCGCCGCCGGCGAGCGGCCTGCGTCCCGCCCGCCTGCTGCCCATCGCGGTGCCGCCATCGACGCTCGACCATCACCCGTTGCGCCGCCTCGCTGCCTCCACCCTCCAGCCCACGGCCTCACGCGCCCCGAGCCCGCGACGCCGCCGCCCGGAGGTCCAGCTTCCACCTACAGACGAAGCCACGCGTGAATTGGTAACTCTTCCCCTCATCCACTGCCTAAATGCTAAATCCAGGGATGGTTAGGAACATTTTTGGTTTGGAACTTAGGATTTAGTTAATAGTTGAATTTAGGCTCTCTCGATCTATTGGTGATATGATTTAAGGTGTGTGAAATGAGAATTTTAGTAGACATGTTAGTCTCCATCTCTACCCATCACACTACTGTTTGAGCACGATGATATCTTGAGGTTTGTGCTTTTCCATTTGGGTTGAATTTACCTCAGTTTTTCATGCATTGAAGGTGTTTGTAGTAATGCCTAAGCGAGTTTTTATAGTTCATAACTGGTTCGGTACGTATCATTCATACAGTGAGCTATAGGGAAGCAATTTCTTACACTGAAATAGTGTTCCAATTCATTGTACTGAAATTGCAGTGTTCATAACAAGCTTATGTTCTACTACGTATTTGCAACTAGTAGTGAACTTCAGTGTTATGCATGTCAAAGTGTTAGGTGCAGTAACTCTAGCATCCAAAATTCCAAACGAGATGTTTGTTTTATGTTTCTCAGAGACTGTTCTGCACAGTTCAATAATCTTGGTATGGAAGTAACACACGAGCGTAATACTCTATTTTCTATAAAATTAGAGTTAGTTTTGTTGTGAAGCATAAGCATGATTGAATAGGAACTCTATTGGCAGTTTTATCACAAGAAATCTTGGTGGTTATAACCTTATAGGAACAAAAATATACTATGGTTTGTGATGTGATCTGAACTTAGTGATTCATTATGTATGCGTGCTTAGTTGCAGGGGTGCCTTTTGAATAGTTGGGACTGGATTTATTAGTATATTAATTAGTATATGACTCAGAAATGTTAATTAGGCAACATAACTGGTAGTATATTGGATCTGACTGGTTAGCTGAATATATAGTTCTTTGCATTATGAGAGGCTCAACGACTAATTGAATCATGTATTTTGGATGAAGCCACCATATTGGATCTGCTCTTTTGTTTTCTAAAACAGTAACAATATAAATCCATTGGAAATGCTACTAGAACCTTTATGTTCACTTTAATCTTGATCCAAAGATTAGAATGCTAGTTTTCTGTGGGATATTCTACACACAAGTTTTTCCCCCATAAAATTTATGCACAGTTATAATTTGGGTTATAATTTTCTGCATATGCCTCACTAGATTTCTGTGGTTTGATGATATGTTTGAACTTTGAAGAGTTGAGCTGCTATCTGTCAGACTGTCACAAGTGCAAATTAACTTCGATTGATTGATCATGGATAAAGGGTGGATGAAAGGAGAACAATACATGATCTAACATGCAAGGATAACATAGGACATGAAGATGTACATTCTAGGACAAGTACTCTTGGAAAAGCCAGCGCTGGTTCCTTAAGTGCTATCAAGTTCACTAATAGCCAAGTGCTAACAACTTCACGGTTCTAGCTTATGAAAGTAAGTCTCCTATCCCAAGTTCGAATGTCTTTTCTCAAGACCATGGCAATAACTCTGCTGTTACATGATAAGAAATAGAACTATTGGTCTGGATATATTGTTTCTTACTAGTATTTAAGTGGATTTGCATTGTAAAATGTAGCAACTCATTTTATGGACAATTATAATTTCTGCAGATACCTCATTTGACTTGTATTACAGTTATTTGCCCCTAGATACTTTCATGGTGCATTCCCCAACAATTATACTATATATGTTTAAATCTTACGGATTCAGGATATTTTTCATGGTGCATTCCCTAATAATTCAAAATATTTTGGGCACCTACTAATGATTATATTTACTTCAGTGCTGGCCTAAGAATAGTAATCCTGAGAGCAATATAGGATAGTATGTTATGGTTGGTTAGCTGAGGAACACTGAGACAGTAAGTATCATCTCTTTGTGTCTCTTTGTTTGTTTGCATTATGTTCTGTTTAAAAGAGTATGTAGTCATGTAGAATGCAATCTGACTCAAATCGATCAACAATTTGTTACTTTGATTATGTGCACTGTATATATTGTGAATCTAATTCATGTAATTCTAGACTTATTCAACTTGCAGCTTGAGAGTTAAATGTTTTGAACTGATAGAAAATTAGAACACCATTATACTGCCACATCATTATATTGCAACATCATCAAAATTGGAACATCTTGATGGGACACTAAAATCTGTAGTTTTGCAATAAATGCATTGATAAATCTTGTATTGATGGAACATTAAAATATGTAGTCTTAATGTATATTTATAATACATTGCTAAATTTGTAGTTTTTGCAATACTGTGACTTGCAGCTTTTTGATAAATCTAGTGTTATAAGCTTGGATTTGTTGTTGTATGATTTTTGTTTTGTCCTAATACTTGCAGTTTCATGTAAAGTACACTAAATCAAATCTTTTTTTTTAAAAAAAACTAGTTTTACTGGAAACTGGCTTTGGTTATCCATTATTTTGTCTGTTAACCAAACAGACCAGCAATTTTCCAAGACCCTACTAGACCTGGTCTCTACAAAATTCATAACCCAAACAACCTAAGTCTTTCCTACCGATTTCATATGTGTTGTTGCTATGCATGATATCAAGGCAAGGCCTCTTTTTAGGCTGGTTGCCAGATTGTAATGATTTGATAATCTTGTATACTGGACGTTTCTTTTTCTTTATACTTTTGTATTCTTTAACAGAGCACAAAATATAATTGGAACATCATTTACTATTTTTACCACCACCCACCTTCTCAGGTTGTCATGGAGCGCAAAATATCTAACTTTTGCTGTCCATATCATACTTCATCATTTTGGTTCTTTTAGAAAGAACTTTGCTCAAGTCGTCCCGTGTTTATTACAGCATCATATAGCATAATAAAGCATATGTATCATCAGATGTTTGAGGTATGAGTTATGAATTATGTATCTGCACTGGGAATCAAATCAATAGTTGATCATCATTAATCTTTTAACAACATTGATCATTACGATGATTAAAGTGCAAAAATATTTCAAACTCTGCAGGCAATTATTGGATTTCATTTTTGGATTAGAGACATGTACGAAGATTATCGTTATCTGGCAAGTGTTCTGATGCCATTGGAAACAATTAGAAGCTATCACGTCAAGATATTCAACAACTGCACATGGCCCTTTATTGATTTGTTTGTCTTTTCCTCTCACTTGTAGCCAGTATATAACTTCAGTGTAACAGAATGTTATTTTTTTAGTTGTAAACTGTGATGTGAGAAATAGTTGGAAAGATATCTAAAAAAGATAGCAAACTGCAAATTTTTGGTGTTGAATGAGCACTAATATTGGTTTGATTGTACCAATATATCAGTATGTAATTGGATGATTCATTGGCCACAATTTAGGTTTTTTTTATTAGATGTTTTTTTCATTGGAGGCATTATAAAAAATGCCACAAAGCAAAGATGAAGGCATTTTGAATAATGCCACAGATACCTAAAATGGCATTCTGGAAACTGCCCTAGTAAGCTCTAACGGCATTCTTGAAAACGCCAGGCTAGACACTTTTTAAGGCGTTTGTAAAAATTGCCCTGGATTGCTTTTCCCGTCGGGAGTAAATGTGGCATTTTTCAAACTGCCTCTAAAGACCATTCAAGGCGTTTTTTTGACTATTCAAGGCATTCCAAATCGCCTCCTAAAGTGTGTCATCCTGTAGTGGCGGTTGCTTCGGGTTCGGCTAGGGCTCCATCGACCCCACAAGTCTTGGGGGCCCCGAGCGGCCTCCCCGGACTGGGGGTGGAGGGCGCCTCGCTTGACTGGAGGCCCCTTGTGGGGGATAGGGACAGCCTGTTGGCCGGCTCGTTGAACTCCGCGGAGCTATCCGACCTGCTCCGCGTTCTCGGCTGGTAGGTGAATTCTATAGCGCCCTACGCTTGCTATGTTCGGGCGCCTCTGACTCGCTCCTTTTCAGGTGATGGTGGCCGGAGCGGCGGCTGTTGAGCGTGGGGGCCGGGACGCCGCGGGCCTTCACTCAGAGCGACTCCACGTTCAAGAGCTCCGGGAGCAAGCTTCGACTGCAATCGCCGAAGCGGAAGCAGCTCAGGACTCCTCTCGCGCGGCAGTCTCCCGGGAGGACTTTGCCCGACAACAAGCGGAGCGCGACCTCAGGGTGGCGCGCGCGGAGTTGGCCCACGAGTGCGATGCCACCAAGCGACTGGCGGAGGAGGTTGGCGCGTTGAAGGCTACCCTTGGCAGCCATGAAGAGGAGGTGCGGGACGCCCGGAGCCGATATGACCAGGTCCGGCTCGCTCTCGACGAGCTAAACATCCGGGCCATTTCCACCATCCAGGCCCTTACTCACGCCTTCGGCAGCATCGGGGTCCAGGGCCCCGCGCCGCCTCCGAACGACAGCGCGGTTGCCGAGAAGCTGCGATGGGTGGAGAAGGCAGGCAGGTTTGCCTCGAAGGCGGCCTCCAGCTACGGGACGTGGTGCTCGTGGGCAACAACCCGCATGTTGTCCCTTCTGCTTCGGAGTAAGGGCTGCTCGCATATCGGGCCCTCCGCGCGCTCTACTCCGAGTGAAGTCACCACCCTGCGTACCACAAGCTCCGGAGGGACCTCCTCGAAGAAGGATGCAGACGACTTCACCCGGGCGGGGGGGTGGGGGGGGGGGGGCGGAGCTTTCTCAACGATGGTGAGCCACAGAGATTTACTTCGCTCAGCCGGAGCCGGAGTAGTCTCAACGGTGGCTTTTCTTTTAGTAAAGCTGCGGAGATTTACTTCGCTCGGCTGGAGCCGGAGCGATCTCGACGCAAGCTTCGCCACGGAGATTTACTTCGCTCGGCTAGAGCCGGAGCGGTCTCAATGATGGCGCACCACGGAGATTTACTTTGCTCGGCCGGAGCCGGAGCAGTCTCGACGCACGCTATGCCACGGAGATTTACTTCGCTCGGCCGGAGCCGGAGCTGGAGTGGTCTCAACGGTGGCTTTTTTTTTTTGAGTAAAGCTGCGGAGATTTACTTCGCTTGGCCGGAGCCGGAGCAGTCTCAATGGTGGTTGTTTTTTTTTTTTTGAAAAAAGCTGTGGAGATTTACTTCGCTCGGCCGGAGCCGGAGTGGTCTCGACGCACGCTTGGCCACGAAGATTTACTTCGCTCGGCCGGAGCCAGAGCGGTCTCAATGGTGGCTTTTTGAGCGGGGGGCCTAACTACGCCCACAAAGGGGGAGCCCAATGCGCCATCTAATAGGTACTGCGCGACAAGACCTCGGAGAGCTTGCCGCGCGGTAACTTCTTATTTCCAACTAAGTGAATAAACACATAGCTTTTTGATCACGGCAGCATAACATTTTTCATTAGCACGAAAGTCATAACATCGCAGCTGGCCTCGGGCCGAAGGGCCAACATTCATAAGGCTAATATCTCTTAGATGTAATACCTTTTGAGGAGGTCTGCATTATTATATATATATATATATATATATATATATATATATATATACGGTGGCGGTACACAGCGCCACCCATAGTCGCTGCGCGCCACGAAACAAAATGGCGCCAGACACAAACGAGGAGAGGTCAGCCCACCACCGACAAAATCCCACCAACAAGGCATCCAACCCACCCGCGGAGTTAAAATTTAACTTAGATACAGTTGGTGGTGGTGGTGCGGTGATATCGTTGAGGAGTTAATATTATACGATGATTTAGTTGGTCTGAGTTAAAGTTTAACTTAGATACAGTTGGGTGGTGGGGTAAAACCAGCGGAGTTAAATTTTAACTTAGTTACAGTTAGGTGGTGGGTGCGATGACGTCGTTGAGGAGTTAATATTATACATGGTTTCAGTTGGTATGAGTTAAAGTTTAACTTACGTACAATTGGTGGTGGGATGCGATGACATGGTTTTGGAGTTAAAAAATTACTTCTTGTTGTTGAATTCTGGATGATTTGTGATTGAGTCTGGTCGCTGCTGAGTTAAAAATTAACTCGCGATACAAAACTGCAGGACATCGTTGTAGAGTTAATTCAGTTTGTATGAGTTAAAATTTAACTTGTGTACAACAAGATTTTAACTCAACAAATACATCCTCACAATCTATAAGCGTAAGTTAAATTTTTGTCGGCACTTGCTCCGGACATCAACGGCGAAGCATCATGGAGGTGTTCGCCGTTGCTCCTCCATGTCCTTCGGTGTTCGAACTCGCCGCCGCGGTGGTCGCCGCCATGTGCGTGGGGCGCGGAGCGGTGGCCCGATCCGCCGCCGCCTCGGCTGTCGCCCGCGGTCGCCCCGTCACGGGATCCGCCGTCGAGCCGCCTGCATCCACGCCCGACACGCACCACCGCAGCCGGATCCATGTACGTGGGGCGCGGAGCGGCGGCCGGATGCGCCGCCCCCTCGCCTCGCCATGCCATGTTGGATCCGCCGACACCGCGCCTTCCCGTACAGGATTATCCCCGGATCCGTCATCGCGCCGGATACGCCCTACCATGGCCGGATCTGCGCGTGTGGGGCGCAGATCGGCGGCCGGGTGCGCCGCCTCGTCACCTCCTACACGTCGTCAACCGTCGCCTCCACGCCTGCAGCCGTGCCATACTGTATCCGCCGACGTCGCGCCCGCCGCCGCTCGGCAGTGGAGGTGGCGCTCGACGATGCGCCGCCAGCCGTGCCGTGCCGGATCTGCCCAATGCCGCCACTGCTCGCCGCCACGCCCGCTCGCCGCTCTCATCTCCGAAAAAATAGGATCTGGATATGTGGTTGGTTACGGGGTGGATGTACAACACTGGTATATATATACACTAAAAGTTGACTACCATCAAGTTAAAATTTAACTTGGATTATTGGCGTGGGGGAGGGCGCAGGTATGGGGTGTCGTGAGTTAAATTTTAACTCAAATACGTGGTGGTGGGTGGGGGGAAGATGGGATAGGGTGGTGGTGCGGCTGTGTCAGGCGCCATCTAATATGTGGCGCCTGTAGCGCCATATAGTAGTTCTATATATATATATATATATATATATATATATATATATATATATATATATATATATATATATATATATATATATAGTATTAGATCGACTTTTTAAATCTCACCAATAAGAAGAATGCCTGCACACCTGAAAACATATATTTTTACCTCATATATTTTTTATTTTTTTATTGTACATTTGTTTACCATATTTGTGGATTAATAAATTTTGTTTTTCTACTATAGAAGATAATATTTTAAAAAACCATCTGTTTTTTCTACCGACGTACATATATTTTTTTTAAGGTTCTTATAACTTTTCTTTTTACTTGCATATATACGTACCTAATTTCTAAAGTAAACAGTACTGCTTTTAATAGTTTTCTATCGTACATACGTGTTCATACGTTTAATAGTTTTTTGTCGTTACGTTTTTTAAATGAACAGTACCTAAAGTTTTTTTTTCAACTGTGCGTACGTACGTCAGATTTTCCATCCTTTTCCATTGTTTGTACGCAACTGTGATTTTCCGGTATAAACATACAGATGATATTAAAGGAAGCAAATAGATCTAATCTAATGGTTTAAAATAACGGGTCCACCAATCTATCTATCTATCTATCTATCTATTATTATATACTAAAAGTCCATTAAACTCCCTATAAACACTCTCAAGCTGCCATGTGGCTACCTCAAAACGCTCTCATGTTGCCACGTGGCACTCTAATAAGATACATAAATCTGACCATCGATTTTCAATTAAATTGGTGGGTCTATTATTTTACATCGTTAGATCTATCTTAGAAAACCAAAACATCCACAACTATCGTCCCACACCTCCTTCCGTGTAGGTAAGGTACGTACATGAGCGTACGTACAAGACCGAACAAAGACATCCGTTTTTTCTTTTTCCCCTCTCTTTTTCTCTTTCTCAGAAATACTCATACAAATGCGTACATATGTCTTATTTCTGGCTAGCTACTTTGTAAAGGTGAGCAAGGTTAATGCAAATATAAATACACTGTGATCATGTGATAGGTAATTATAAATAGATTCACGTAGATTATATCATCATATAGCTCATTCCAAATGTGCGAGACTAAATTAGCTATGTAATATTTAATATTTAAAAATAAAGTTCACACCATTATATATTTACCCAATAAATAAATAATGTAAGATAGTTTCCTAAAAGTCCATTAAACTCCCTATAAACATTCTCAAGCTGCCATGTGGCTCTCTCAAAACGCTCTAATATTACCACATGGCACTCTAAATCGATGGGCCCATTAAAAACCAAAACCTCCCACCGGCCCCACCTCCGTGCAGTACGCACGTACTGCTCCCCTGTTCCGTTCTCCTTTTTTTTCCCTTTGTTCCTTTCTTTTCTTTTTTCAATCACAATTAAAATTGAACTTATCTTTATAGAAAGAATACCCCCACAAATGTTAAAGTCCATTAAATATCATATAAATGTTTCTAACCGTTGCGTGGAACTTTTAAATTAGAGAAACATCGAACCATTGGTTTCCACTAAAATCGATGGGCACATTATTTTACATCGTTATTTGATCTGTATTAACCAAAAGTCCATGAAACTTTCTACAAACAGTCCTAAATCGCCACGTGGCATCATAGAAGTGTTCCTAAGCCACCACATGCCACTCTAACAAATAACCGTTGATTTTCATTATATTTGATGGACCTATTATTTACAACCATTAGATTTATCTTAAATAAAAAGTTAACCACCCAAACCTAACCCACCCATCCTGTGAATAGTACGTACGTACTTATATCTCATATACAACTACCTATTATATATGAAAATAATAATAATATACCTCATATATTATTATTATTATTATTATTATTATTATTTTGATATGTTGACCGTAACATATATATCACGTGTCTGTCATTCTCTCCACTTTCTATTTTATAGCTAGCATTTCAAGGTAAACATGATGAGCTAATTTGTCATGATTTAATTTATAATTAAACAAATTAATTTAAGATCAATAAAATCCAAAAGTTCTAAGTAAAATGTAAAACATCATATTATCGATTTACACTTAAACCGAGAAAAATATTATTTCGATGATTAGATTAGATTTATTAAACTAATTAATCCCTCACTGCTGATCTCCTACGTAATTTATGATTAAAAAATTCAAAAAGTTGTGAGTAACAGGCAAAATATGGCACCATGGATTTACACTTATCCTATTATTTTTAACCATTATAGATCTATTAAACTACTTAATCCCTCTGTCCTAATCTCATAGGTAATTACATAATTATAATAATTGATTCATATTACACCACCCTCTTCCTAGATTAACTCTTCATTCTTATATTTTTATACTTTATTAGTTACAAAGAGATATCTTCTATTATATATTAAAAGTCCATTAAACTTCGTACAAACGCTCCTAAATTACCATGTGGCATTCTACAAAACGCTACTAAACCGTTACGTGGCATTCTAATAAACCGGTGGACCCACTATTTGTTTAATAAATCGATAGGCTCACTATTTGTTTAATAAATCGATAGACCCACTATTTTCAACTATTATATTTATCTTTATAAAAAAACATTCCTCATAGGAACTCATAATTTCCTATGAGGAATTATCCATAGCTATGACCAATCGATGTTTGCCATCAAATAATAAATTGATTATCAATTTTTCTACAAAAGTGGGTAGAGCCATTAATTATATATGGTTGTATATGTAATGTCTTTTATAACTTAAGTTTTCTCTCTTTTCCTATGGAATCTCAAGAGTCATATGTCTCAGGTACCATTTTTTATACCGTAAGTTACCAACCATAATCTCCAGTAGGTAATTTTATAAATAACAATTAAATTCTTCATGCAATTCTAACAAAGAAAATTCATTAAAAAACACAATTTTAAAACTTTGCAAATATTATTTCGTTGGTATACCGCCTTTATAAGTTTCTTAAATTTATCCTACGTATGGTACATGCCCGCGCGAATGCGCGGGCTACCTTCCTAGTTTAAATGAAAATCAACAATGAGATTATAAAATGCCCCGTGGCAAGCTAAGAGCGTTTGTAGGAACACATAACGGTTTATGAGCGTTTGTAGAAAGATTAATGGACTTTTAGTATAGAGTATTTTTATCATCCTTGAGAAGGTCCCATGAGGTGCTAGGTACCAAGAGGTACCAATTAAATCCAACTGTTGATTTAGGAGGGGCAGGATCGGTATGTAATTTGTGTAAAGAGTAATTGACCTGGACGGTTTACGCGCGAGGGCGCGAGGCTTATCTCCTCCTTCGCATCGTGTCGCTTCAGTTACCTTCCTCGCCATGTTCTCCTCGACTCCTTCCGGGCTGCGAGTGCGATCTGTGCACCGTGCTTGAAGAGGCAACAACAGATGTTGAGAAGAGAAAATGTAAACGTGGGAAGAGCCTCCCAGTTTATAGGGATAGGGAAGAGATGTTAGCAGAGAGAAAAACAAGGAATATCCGGTGACTAGCTGATCGAAAGGATAGCAGGACAAAGAAAGCAAAAAAGAAAAAAAAAAAGAAAGAAAGGGAAGGGAAGGCGGTGCTTGCCTGCTTGGTGCAGAAGACAGGAAGGTCTCTGGATTTCCCTTCCATGGCAAGGGCATGGTCCTGGGCATCGGCCGGCTTGGCAGATCGGTTGGGGCTCGGTTGGAACCTCGGGATGAAGATTGATAGGAAGAAGACGGATCTGACATATGGGGCCCACCTGTAATAGAGGAGATATTATAAGAGGCTGTTGACATAATAGGCCTGGGTGGTAAGAAAATAAATGTATCGTCGATAAATAAATGTATGAAGAAAGCAGGCTCGTCGATGAACTGGGAGAGTGAGGAAGAAGGTGGCAAGTATGAGAGATAATTGTCGGTTATCATGGACACCTTTGTGCATAAGAGAGATAAACAGATATAAGAGATTACCGGTTGACGTGCACTAAAGTGTGAAAGATCATCGGTTACCAAAATTATTGTTTCGAAATATTTATCTCTATTATTATAAAAATTGAAGATATTTATATTCAAAATTTTGGCACTTCACTCAATTCCGATACAATCTCTCCATAATAAATCTGTTGTGGATACTAAGAGCCCACCATTACCTTTAATTCCCAATTCAGACCAACACATTTCAACACACGAACACTTTTGCTAGTTTATTAGAAATTTCAGCATAACCTCACCACCAGTACTTATAGACTATCGTAAAATTTTTTGACAAAACATCCCCAATATTTATGGACTATCGTGGAAAATCATGGAAACTTCCCAAGTATTAATGATAGTGTGGAAAATTTTGACATGTTACATAATGATTCCATCAAATTTACATATTTCAGCTACAACGAAATACTCCATTATATATGTCTACAAAATACATACTGATTCCAGCCCTCATCCATATTTTGCCTGCTCGTGTCAGAAATAAATTCCTGATTTCTGAACAAATTTCATCGGCTAAATGACATGTAAAATACACATCAGCAAGATAACACCCTCCATGTATTGCCACAAAACTTCAGGTCTAACGGGACATTTCATAGATATTAATTTGTGCCATGCTGTAGTGCCATTAGTGCCATGAGATATAAATTTCCACAACCGGATCTCTTCCACTGAGATTTTTTTAGAGGACCTCCACTGATACCTGACAGTTAGAAACACAACATCTTGAGCTCTTGGGAAACAAACTTAGTAAGCTTCAGTTTTCAGTAAACTCTGGTACATCACTATATGATTATAAGGCACCAATTGCATGAAAAGGACTCGCAAAAAACTGCACATAAACAAAATGTTTAGTAAAATGGCATCGGACCTACTTAATTATTATTATTATTCTATAGAGTATAGACATTGTTCTTGATATCTAAAAGGATGTAACTCCCCTAGAATGTGAGGCAGAACAGCAGATTCAGATATGTCTTCCCATAAAACTTGCCTTCTAGCAGGCCATTTCATGATAATAAATTCCAACAAAATATAAACACGCCAGTTGGCTTCCTCTATTAGCATTTGATAGTTAGCATCACAGCATCTTGAGTTCTTGCTATTAAACTTACTAAGTTTCAGTTTTCTCTATCTAATTTTTAGTGTATCAATATAAAACTACAAAGTACTAGCTAGATGAACTTGCATTATAGAATTACACTCTAAATAGAGCTAATAAGCCAAAGAGTACATTTTCAAGGCACATACTCCGGGTTATATCTCATCCACAATTTTCATTAACCGAAATTTTGTCAACATATATCTATTCAAGTTCTGCGAATATGATATACATGGTGGAGAACCTGAGCACCTGCAGGCTGTGGTTGGTGAGAGAGCAACGTCGCCGAAGCCCCGAAGACGACACTACCACTACTGAGCTCGTCACCGTGGCCACCTCAGCGGCAGCCCCCTCGCAAGCTCGGGGAGGCCTCCCGCTGCCGCCCTTGGGCATCAGATCCGGCGTCCCCAACCTCCGCGGCGCTGGATCTGGCCGAGGAGATGGCCAGAGTGGGGCTTGGGGGGAGAGGGAGGGCGTGGAGTCGGCGGCCAGCGGCCGGCGGTGTCTGCGCTCAAGCAGGACAGGAGGCGGCGGCGGCCGGTAGCGACCGTGCTGCGCGAGGAGAGGACATGGTGGTCGGGGGCATCGGCGCTCAAGAGGTAGATCAGGAGACGACCGTTGAACTCCACGAATGAGCGGTGGTCGACGGCGCACTGGAGGGAGCGGTGGTTGTCGGGAGAGGGGAAGGGGAGGCGGCGTGACGAGCGCGAGGAAGGGGAGTCGGAGACCGGGGGTCTCTGGATCGACCGATCGAGAGAAAAGGTTGATGCGAAATTACTATCCTACCCTCCCACCTTCAAAATGTAACCGCCTAACCGGTACATGCTCTAGAGCAGATGCGGTACCGGGCGGTACCAACCCTTCCCAGCCGTTAGATTGCATCTAATCAACGGCCAAGATATGGTACCGCCTGAACTCAAGGACTGTAAAAAAAATCTTTTAGTATATAATAGATATATAGATACATATCGATATGTACCTGCTTTCATCTATAAGCAGGTATATATCTATCTAAATGGGGGAGAAAACCTCATTTTACTAAATTACTCCACAAGATAGCTATGGGTTATAGAACTTTTTTTTCTTAGATAAAGGGTTTGAGATCATGAACAATTAATTAGCACACAGTTACTTAATAAAATCAATCAAGCAATGCGAAACGAGTGTTTTCACTAACCTTGTCCATCAGTAACTGGGAAAGTGGGGATCAATTGAAATCATGTCGATCATAATTTCTGTCCTAATCAGGTTAGTGATGATATCCAGTATATTGGGCCTGTTACTTCTGTTAACTTCCACGCAGCTCAATGCTATCTGGGTGCATTTCTTTACTTGTTGGCAGTACCCTTCTAGCAAGGAACCACTCCATTTCTGCTGCAGTCTGCTTCTCCAGTTTCCATGTACCTATGGTATGAAAAGATAAATCTCTAACTGTAGTATATATGCACATGCAAATGGCCTAGTATTTGCTCATGATGAACGGTGACCATGATAAAGAGAAATATCTTACTAAATCAATAAATCTGTTGTGAGGCATCTCCTCATGTTTGCACCAGTTACTAGGTCCTGCCATTATCTTCAACATTACAACACCGAGGCTGAATATGTCCAATTTGTCTGAGACTATACCTGATCGTAGGTATTCTAGTGGCAGGTATCCTCTGCATTCCATCATAAATACAACAGTTAAAATGAATTTTTAGTAAGCCCATTTTGGTTGATTAGAGAAGGATGAATTGGACAAAGGCATTTCAACTTACAATGTTCCTCTGAAAGTTTGGGTGATTCGTGTCTTTTCCTCACCAAAGAGCTTGGATAAACCAAAATCTGAAATTTTCGGTACCATGTTCTTATCTAGCAATATGTTGTCAGGTTTCAAGTCCAAATGGTACATGGGTTCTTTCAATTCGTTATGTAGATACTTTAAGCCCCGGCAAGTCCCCATAATGATTTTGTAACACGTGAGCCAGTTAAGTCCGCTCCATTCATCTGGAAAAGTAAATAATGAGTATTGATGAAATGCACATATAAACATAATTTCTTATTCAGATGATAAGGAATGTACTACATGCGCGATCGAGGGCTATACCATGACAAAGATATTTTTCAAGACTTCCATTTTGCAAATACTCGAAGCAAAGAGCTCTAAATGTCTGTTCGGCAGGAACAAGATTCCCTTTGTGCCCTTCATGTATGATTTCTGTTTGGTAGCAGTAGCCAACTAAGGCTGTGTTCGCATGCACATTTTCCTATCCACTCTCCTTCGTTTTCCGCGCGCACACTTTTCAAACTATTAAACGGTGTGTTTTTTGCAAAAAGTTTCTATACGAAAGTTGCTTAAAAAAATCAAATTAATCCATTTTTTTAAAAAAAATAGCTAATACTTAATTAATCACGTGTTAATGGACCGCTCTGTTTTCCGTGCACAGGAGTTAGGTTCCCATCTCCCCATCCGAACTCAGCCTAATTGGACGATGTTCTTGTGTTTGAGCTTCTTGAGGTTTTCAAACTCACTCTGGAATTGCTCCTCGCCACGTTCAGGATCAAGCACAACACGAAGCACCTTCACAGCGATCTCTTCTCCATTTTTATGTAGCCCCTGTTCAAGATCTGTTATCAGTACTGGGTGTACGGTTTGATTATCTATTATTATTATTATTATTATTATTATATACTAAAAGTCCATTAATCTTCCTACAAACGCTCCTAAGCCGCCACTTGGCGCTCTAATAAATTAGAGAAATCAAAGAAATTCTGAGAAAAAAGAAAAGCATCTATCCGTTGATTTTTACTTAAAATAGTGGGTCCACGGTTAGAAACCGTCAGATTAGCTAGATTGATCTTAAAACGTACAATACCACACCATCCGTAGGTACGTACGGTTCCGTCTCCTTCCCTCCTTTTTCTTTTCACATATATATAATCCAGATAACAGTTAACATAGTTAAATTTCAAATAATCATAATTAACTTATATGATTATATTATAATATAACTCTTTCCAAAATAAAGTTTGCACCACTATATTTCTACCATTAAATAAAGGTATACTAAACCCATTATGTGGAGCATTATTTTCAAATAATACACTATTTAACACATTAAACTAACAAAGATATATATTAACTAACTTATTCTTAAACGTGCTATTTTAGACTTTTTAATAAAGGCCAGATTAATTTTATGAGTATTTGCAATTATTTGTACCATAAATTATATATCTAATTTTATTTTTCAAATAAATATATAATTTTAATATCCATATTGGATTTATTGCATTCTAGACCCACATCCATCTTGAGTGCTCCACTAAATAAAAGAAAATGCTAAAATTTGTCATTGAAAATCAAAATATGCTAGCTTATTTTTTAATGAAACTGTTAAACCCATTACAAATACATTGTTAGACATTTAATGACTTTCTACCAACTTAATTAATTTCTTCATAAAAAACTTTATTAATTTCTCACAACATACACATGGGGGCTATTTACCTATACAAATTGATCTTGATGCTTTTGTAAATAAATGATATTTTAAATTTAAAAAATAAATAAATGATCTTAAAATGATCATAGCATCTAAATCATACATATGATTGCTCTTAGCACTTCTACAAACACTTCTAAGTCGCTATGTGGCATTTTATTAATTACAAAAACACTCATATAATCGACCATCGGTTTCCACTTAAACCGATGGACCCATTTTTTATACCATCATATCTATCTTTTGGTAAAAAAAAAAAATAAAGTCTATCAAGACCTCTCTCTGGCTCACTGCATAACATGCATGTGTGCTCCTATGCCTTTTAAACCAGTAGAACCATTATTTCTAACCGTTAGATCTATCTTATATAAAAAAACAAGTGTTTATTTATGGTCTATGACATTCAAAAATATTACTGTGAAATGATATTTCATCGTTATTGTATTCCTACTAGGTTGGGCAGAGCCTCTTATCCACTCTACATGAAATGTTCATAGATAGATCACCTCTCAAAATATATCAATCATATTAGGCTATATAAATCCATGCATTTCGTGTAGCTTAATGTCCCACCCAATTCATCCTTTAACATATTATGATAATCTATTATACAATTAAAAAAGAAAAACAACTTAATTTTTATTTTACACTTACTTTTACTTTCGTTGACATGTTTTCTAAAGAAAATAAATCTACTTTCTTTTTAAATGATGAAGAAGATTATAAATAATTGCTTGTAGATATTACTTATATTTGATATAATATAAATCTAATAGGTTAAAATATTATTAAAGAATTTCTGACAAAAATAATTTATGGAGAAATCGTGGCAGATGTTCTTATGTTAATATATCGCTTTTATAAATACCTCAAACTTAGCGTACGACGCATGCCCGCGCGAATGCGCGGGCTACCTTCCTAGTTTTACTAATAGCCACATTTTGAAATATAAGTAAATAAGTAATGAGCACTTTCAATCTAATACAGTACGGCACCAAAAATTGTGGAGAGGTAGATTCTTCAAAAAAAAAAAAATTGTGGAGAGGTTGGGAAAACGATGTTTGGCATCCCATGCATACAGAGTGTTGGTCTTACTCAAGAGGTAATAGTTTGGGTAAATATAATCCCTGCATTCCATCATGTAGTGGCAATTTGGCAACAACATTTTATTTATGTTTAGCATGTTAGTCACAGCGGCCGTGAAAAAAGGGAACACAGTAATTGAGTCCACCTTTTATTTTTCATGAGGATTGATAGCATGTCTGCAAATATAATATTGCACATTCAAGATTAAGTATCCAATTATGAAATTAATTGAAGTCTAGATTATAGGTACACAATAGTGATAGAAGTAGATAGTATAAAAGTTTCTTTCAAACACCGAATTTGATTGCCAGGATATAACTTTACTGGTTGGGATGTTAGACTTATACCAGGATTGTTAAAAATCAAGTTCATATTTATCATTTTTTTAATTCCCTAGCTTTGAATATAAGCTTAATTATTATTGGAAAATTTGATGTTCTTTGAGAGGTACGAAGACATACAATTTTTTTTAGTTCAAAAATTTGGCACCGTATTGGAGATATCGAGATGTATCGAATTTTAGAAAACGCGGTACCTTGCATTACCTCCTCGGACCATAAAATCACTTCAATTACTTTCCGTTTGTAATATAATGTAAATATCAGGTTATGTGAAAGTTGTGAAATTTGAGTTCTACTACATTTAATTTTCTCAAATAATTTTGATAAATTTCATGATATTCTTTATCAATGTCTAATGGTTGTATATTATATAAGGGATATTAGCAAATGTTCATTTGCATATAAGTTTTTATCTAATATTGTATATTATATAAGGGCTTGCACATGAATTTTTATGCTAAAGAATAATATGAAATTCAAATGCTATTTTATCATTATTTACTTATATAATATATTATCAAAGTCTCTATTACTCTTGAGTGGTAAATGATGACATATTACTTCCTAAAATTGTGTAGAAAAAACAACTACGACCTTAACCTTACCCGGTAAACAGTTCCAAATGCTCCTTGACCAAGTATTTGTTCCTTGGAGAAATTGTTTGTAATTTCTTTTAGAAACTCATGCTTTAGATCTGTTGGCTCCACAGTTTTTGAGAACTCGGAAGGCACGGCATACATTGGAGTTGCACGTGGAGCCTCTAACTTGTCCTCCAGTATACCATGTTTACATGTTATGGTCCATTTTTGATGACCCAAATCCTCCTAGATAAGAAAAAAGCATATGCCTTTTATTAGCTACAACCATCGTGACACATTGATTCTTTGGTAGATTCATTAGATATGTAAATAATGGTCATCTGATCAATGGTCTATTGTCCAAGTATCGGCATGTACAATTGCAAAAAAAATGTTGTGAACTCTGTGTGATATGCGATAAAAATGAAGTTAAATCATAATCAAAGGATTGATTGATTATTATTGTTATTTATTTGTTGTTGTTGCTGCTGGTGGTTCTCTTTGGAGATCAATTTACGCATAATACAGGAGTTCATTGTTAATCCAGCTAATCATTCCCCTAACCATGCATGACTACAGCCAACTAGGTCATTTTGATAACAATCCATGCAATCTGGCAAGTTGTATATAGAACAAGTTTCTCCTATATTAAACCCAAACAATCAAGTTTCTACTCAAAAAAGAGATCCCGAAACACACTTTACAGTTTTGTCTATAATCCCAATGTAACAGTTGGTAATGACAATCCATGAACATGGTTGGTGCAACTTCTGGAGAGGTACGGAGTATACCGACTAGCATTACAAATTGATAAGTTACCTGAGAGACTGAGCTCATCCCCATTGTAGAGAGAAGTAGATGATGTACATCTGATCTGGCATTGAGGGACATGAAAGACTGTAATTATACATTCAGAAATGGCATTTCTATAGGTAGATCAACTGTGAATGAAATACACACTATGTGAAAAGCTCATTAATTACCAACCATATAAATTGAAACAGGGTAGTATATATGTGATACCAACACAGATCACCTAAACCCTGGGGCTTAAAATGTCACAGCAACAGACACAGTTTACATAAATACATACCTCTGGAATATGCTGCATCTTCTGGTGCATTCCACTATTGTTCCATTGCTTCCTAAAGTCCATGTGCAAGCCCAGCAGCCATAGTTTCTTCAGGGAGAGAATGGATTCAATGCCCAGTGGGACTTTGTCCAGGTTTGGCAGTGCCAAGATGTACAAAGCTTCAATGCATGACAGAGAGCCACCTATAATATTTATCTGGTTGACATGTGGCATGTCCTTCAAAACAAGGGACTTCAGGCGGAAAAAGTTTTCTGCATATAGAACCAACTTTTTTGCATTATGCATGTTGCTCAGTCTCAGATGTGTGAGATTTGGCAAGTGCAATAATGCAAGCATCCTTAATGGATCATCCCCAAGATCACACCAACTTAGAGCTAAATATTTGACACATGTGCCATGGGTACGAAATATTGGGCAGTCCATTGTTCCAGTGGCCCATTTCCCTCTGATAATTAACCTGTGTAATTGAGTGGAGATGGGCTTGAATGCCTCAAAGCAGAGTCGTTCATTCTGATCCCTTGCAGAAAGAAGCAAACTAGAAAGAAGCGGCATCTTTGATAGTGAATCAAAAATATTTTGACAATCGACAGAACTTATGCCATCAATCCACACACTTTGTAGTTGTATTAGTTCCTTCAGCTGCTTGGCCAAGTCTTTGCTCGCTTCCATGGTCTCAAGAGTTTGTAGTTCTTTAAGGTTGGACATATCTTTAGGTGCTTGCATTCCTATGAAAAACCGGAACTCTGAGTGCTTTTCATCAGCATATCTATCAGCTAACAAGTGCCTTAGCTTTTTTATTTTAGTGATTCCTTGTGGTAGACTCTCTATATGCGTTTGCCTGATGTCTAGCGTTTGGAGGTTTGATAACTTTTCAACAGAGCCCGGGAGTGATTTCACCTTGGTGCGTCGCAAGCCAATATAACGCAAGTTACATAAATTCCCTATAGTTGCTGGCACTTGAGTGATTTCTGAATCTTGAAGCTCAAGAACAGTAAGATAGCTTGATCCATACAAAATTGAGGACAACATGTCTGGGGAAGATGAAATTGCTTCAAGTGATACTAGAGTTCGAAGGCGTGGAAGATTAAGTCTGGGTGCAGTACCGTCTTTCCATCGGTAAGATGACAAACGACGAACATCCTTATCAATCTCTACCATTGTGCCAAAATCATTTGCAGAGCCAAACTTGTGGAGATTATGGGTACCCCATACCCACATGGCATGGTTATCCAACTAGTTATAGGGGATAACTTATATCTATGAAATATGTAACAGATCATGACTTGGGTATTACGTTTCTTTGTATATTATGGAACGGCCTAAAGTCCTGGTTTGATAAGATTGTAAAGTAGATTTAGGAAACCGATACCGTCTTGGTTAAGGTTTCTATCTTGTAACCCTGCCCCCCAACCTATATAAGGAGGGCAGGGAGCCCCCTCTAGGGGCATGAGACAACTAGATCGTCAGATCTATAATACACCCGGCGGATTCAAATCCCCAAACAGGAGTAGGGTATTACCTCTCATCGAGAGGGCCTGAACCTGTCTAAATCCTTTGTCTCCACATCCATCCACTTTTAGGTCTCGTGCGCTACCCCGTTTTATTATTGCCGAATTCATGTTTCGATAGTTGGCGCGCCAGGTAGGGGTGCGTCGAGTTTCCCGTCGACGAGTGCGATGGAACTAATCTCCGGCGTCGCCGGATTCGTCAAGCATGTTCTTTTTGTCTCGGATTCAGTCCAGCCAAAGGGATTAGTCTCGGCGATTTCATCGATTTAATCTTTAATATCACTGGCTTTGCCGTTTCAGTAGTCAGATTGTTTTCTAACGGCAGATTAATTTCCTGTTATTCTCTTGATTTTGCATGCCGACTGAGATCAAGATCAATGGCTGTCATCTCGGCATTCATGTCTTCACCAACCGGTTGGACTTCGCCACCGCCGACTGGTGTTTCCGCCTGCACGGCCAGCTTATTATGCCGCCGTTGTCGGGTGTCTACGACTTCACCGCCGGCCTGCCTTCGCCGCCGCCGACTGGTGTTTCCGCCTGCACGGCTGGCCTATTATGACGCCGCTGTTGGGCGTCTACGACTTCATCGCCGGCCTGCCTCTGCCGCCACTGACTGGTGTTTTCGCCTATACGGTTGGCGGACTTCGCCACCATTAATGGGCTTCATCATCTACACCACTGGCTTGGTTCCACTGGCGCCGACTGGTGTTTTTGTCACCATTGATGGATTGCTTCGTTCCCACATCGGCTACTTTTGCTGTCACCGAGGGAATACGACAAAGCTAAGTCATCATTTATTTTATTCTTTATATGATATTTTGCCTTTTCCTTTGCCTCACTACATCAACTGGTTCGCCGTTGACTAATGAGTCGGGGGCTACAGATGTTATATCATATTTTTTAAACAATTTTCATAATATTTATCTTGATTGCTTGCGACATATTCTGAGTACAAAAGTGCCTATCGAGTTATGGAGTTCCATCTTCCTATGCTTTCCGTTTGGTTTGCCAATGGATAGTTGCCTTTAGGCCGATTCCTAGCACCCGGGGGCTCGTTGGATGGACCGAGTAACGCAAGGTGCTAAGTATTATTCGGAATAAATCAAAAGCATAGAGATAAGATAATTTATTTTCTGCTCTTAATAATTGCAAAAGTACCCGAGTAGTAAACTCCGATCCGTGAAACTTTGTTCTATTAATGACGAACTCATGTCACTCATATGCATGTTTGGGAAGTGCTTAGGCCGACTCCCAGTGCTTGGTGGCTATGACTAGTCGGGCAGAGTGTTTAAACGTAATGAGTCATCTGCTCGGGGAAATCAAAATTAACAAGAGAAGAAATACGTATTTATAAACTGCTTGAATTTTTCTCGAGTATTATATTTACATCAGATACTACTCATCCTATATGTTTGTTCTGCAGGATCCAAATCCAGATATGCATAAAAGGGATTCATGGCTTTAAGCTTATCTCTTACGCTCCAGGAATGGATCAGTCAGAACATCACCACCGGCTCGCCGTCGTCGCCGCCGACTGGTGTCTTCGCCTATACGGTTGGTTGGTCACAACACCGTTGTCAGGCGTCTACATTTCCACCGCCGGTTTGCTTTCGCCGCCGCCGACTGGTGTCACCGCCTACACGGCTGGCCTATTATGCCGCTGTTGTTGGGCGTCTACCTCTTCACCGACTGGCCGCCTCGTCCGCCGCCGACTAGTGTTTCCGCCTGCACGCTGGCCTATTATGCCACCGTTGTTGGGCGTCTACGTCTTCACCGACCGGCCGCCTCGTCCGCCGCCGACTGGTGTTTCCGCCTGCACGCTGGCCTATTATGCCACCGTTGATGGGCGTCTACGTCTTCACCGACCGGCTTGCCTTCGCCGCCGCCGACTGGTGTCTCCGTCTGCACGGCTGGCCTATTATGCCGTCGTTGTTGGGCGTCTACGACTCCACCACCGGCCTGCCTCCATCGCCGCCGACTGGTGTTTCCGTCTGCACGGCTGGCCTATTATGCCGCCGTTGTTGGGCGTCTACGTCTTCATCGACCGGCCGCCTCGTCCGTCGCCGACTGGTGTTTCCGCCTGCACGGCTGGCCTATTATGCCGCCGTTGTTGGGCATCTACATCTTAATCGCCGATCGTCTCGTCTGTTGCTGACTAGTGCCCTTACCTCTACGTCTGGTTTATACAGCTACCACTACTGATGGACATCATCATCTTCCGTCGCCGACTGATTATGCTGCCGCCGACTGGTGCTTTTATCTTCACAACTGTGCGTCTTCACTACCGGTTTGCTTCTGTTGCCGCCGACTTGTGTTCACTTCATTACGGCAATACAACTTTGTCATCATGGTGGAGCGACTTCATCTTTATTATCTTCGGCACCGGCAAACTCTATTGTTGCTACTTCGCAAGTTTTACTACTTCACCAACCACGACGTCTTTGTGAACCTCGACATCTCGGCATGCAATGCCATGTTATTTTACTACAACAAGTGGCTCTCCAATATTCAGGATTTCTACTTGGACATCTTCAACACATATCTTCAATCAAGCAATGACTATTCGACGACAAGAAGCTACAGTTCTCGACTCTATGTTCAGTTGTTTCCCAACTAATCAAAGAGTCGGGGGCTACACAAATACAAGGCTCAAAATTTGACAAATTTTATGTCAAGCTGAAGAAATCAATTCATCAACCCACGAGTCAACTCCAGGAGTCATTATCTTCATCTTTGCTTCGGAGCAGACATTCTACTTCAACAACTTCAAATATTTCGGTTTAGACGAGTTGGGCAACAACATCAACTCTCCTCCAAGTGAAGCATCTACAACAGTTATAACATTAATTTGATGGATTATTGTCACTGACATCATCACCAGCACCTCTGCTTCATCGACCCTGAAATCTCTGCTGTTGCTAATGGATGATTATGTTTTCGCCGACTTATTATTTCACCTTCACGGTTGACCTACTATGCAAATGCTGATGAGCGTCTTTGGCATTATCATTGGTTGCTACACTGCTATTGGCTAGATCACCGACATCGTCATCTTCATCATGTCGGTTGCGTTTGTCGTCGTCAAGTATTTTCTTCATCTTCATGATTGGTGGATTTCGTCATCGCCTTTGATTTGCCTCGTCTGTCACCGACTGATTATTTCGCTGCCATAGCTACACAACTTTATCGCTGAGCGCCTTCATATTCATTGCTGGCTGATCTGACTGCTGCCGACTGGTTTCTTCGCCTCCACGGCTGTGCAACTTCATCACTTTTGATTGGTATCACTATCTTCACTACCACCAATATTTTTGCCACCTCTGCTGGGCAATATTATCTCTGTATTGGTCATCTTGTCTCTATGCCAATTGCGTCAGCTACCATCAATGAACAATTGTGACTACGTGCTCAGGGGCTTACTAGCTCAAACACAAGTATCATACCTTCAATTTGGACTTGCTCTGGATACATGCAATATGGATTCATGATCATGGGTCTATTTTCTATGTTTAAAGACTGGACTATTTATTATTCCCCATAAGGGTTACAACCGAATACTTGCGCCAGTCGGGATTTAATTATTATATTTATTTTGGAGTATCCCATAAGGGATAATCACTCAGATCAGAAGCGATTGATATGAGCTACACTTGGTCTATATCACCCGTTCCAAATTTATTACTCGGAAGCATGTTACATGCGTCATCCTTTAAAGGGTGTCGAAGGCATATTTTTTGGCCTAGGCCTAATATGTCTGCAGCCCATATTTTCAGGTGTGGCCTGTCACGTTCTTTTAGGGACTTAGGCACTTTTTGCTTAGGCCAAAGTGCGCGTGATCAAGTGCCCAATACCTTAAAATCCTTTTATACCGCAGTTACTCAACTTTTTAGGAGTTGGTACAATGCATCTTAAAAGGTGTCAAACAGTAAAGCTTTATATAGCTGGCCCGCTGACTTTTTTATATAGTCATGGTGCTGTTTGGGTTTTTAAGCAATTGATTGGATACAATATCATTGCTTTTTGCCACGTAAGTGTGCATTTTTATTAACCAATATTATGGCTTAGGCTGATTATATATTGTGGTCATTTTTCAGGCGGTTGGTAAATCCTTTATGAGTTTATTTACTCGAATTTTATACCACATATGCCATATATTTCCAGGTGTGGTGGAACCATGTGTCTTCTAGGGACTTAAGCACATCTGTTAAAGCAGTGTGCGCATGGCGTATGCCCAATACTTTGGAAATTTCTTTATTCACAACATACAAGCTTCTTTATAGCTATTTTGCTATGTGAATTTTCAATGATGTAGCCAACTTTAGGTTACACTCATCATATTTTACAAAGCAGTCGGTATATCACTTGGATCATATTATTCAGGGATTCACACCGCATATGCTACATATTAATATTAAGTCGCTTGGTTGACTACAATTATCGAAACCACTCGGTGCATCTAGTCGATGCACCTGACTTTATTTTTTCAGCCCTCCACAGTCTTCTGATTTAGAAAAAGTACTCGGGAGATCATGGCGAAGATGATTGAAGCACTCGGCTTTGGAGTAATCTAGTTCGAGAGAAGATTATCTTTCTGACTGTGAAGGTCTCAGGGGCTACTGTGGAGATTATGGGTACCCCATACCCACATGGCATGGTTATCCAACTAGTTATAGGGGATAACTTATATCTATGAAATATGTAACAGATCATGACTTGGGTATTACGTTTCTTTGTATATTATGGAACGGCCTAAAGTCCTGGTTTGATAAGATTGTAAAGTAGATTTAGGAAACCGATACCGTCTTGGTTAAGGTTTCTATCTTGTAACCCTGCCCCCCAACCTATATAAGGAGGGCAGGGAGCCCCCTCTAGGGGCATGAGACAACTAGATCGTCAGATCTATAATACACCCGGCGGATTCAAATCCCCAAACAGGAGTAGGGTATTACCTCTCATCGAGAGGGCCTGAACCTGTCTAAATCCTTTGTCTCCACATCCATCCACTTTTAGGTCTCGTGCGCTACCCCGTTTTATTATTGCCGAATTCATGTTTCGACAAAACTTCTCCTCTTTAGCAGCAGAAAAGGCCAGGTCTCGCATAATGTCATGCATTCTACAAGTATTCACCCTGCCGAGCTCATCATACTTTGTAACCTGAAGCATATTCCTGCATATCAATTCCATGAGATTTCCCTCTGCTACTGCCTCTGGTGTGTTGTTTTCTTTCTTCAGGACAAAGCCTTCTGCAATCCACAGACGCACAAGGCTCTCACGGGAGAGCGGGTAGTCTTCCGGGAATAGGCTACAGTACAAAAAGCAGTTTCTTAGGTCTCCTGACAGGTCATGGTAGCTCATATTTAAAATTGCTCGGACATGATTGTTCTTTGACAACTCACTTCTAAGTTGATTGTATGATTGATTCCAAACATAATGTGACCGTGACCTTGAAGACAAGAGGCAGCCTATTGACGCAATTGCTAGTGGAAGGCCCTGACACCGCTCAACTATAGATTTGGCAAATTTCATGAGTTCTGTGGGACACTCATGGTCCTTAATGTTATAAAATGCCATTCTGCAGAATAGATCAAAGCTATGAATGTCACTCAATGGCTGGAGATCAAGGTGACATGTTGAGGAAGCAAGAGCTGCCACATGATTCTTCCGCATTGTGATTATTACGCGACTTCCTTGGTCATTCTGGAATGCATCACGTATTTGAAAGTATGCTTCTTGGTCCCAGACATCATCAGGTACGATCAAGCATTTTTTACCTTTAAGCATTCGCTTTATTTCCTCTTTCAAATCATGCACATCCATTTTGTCAATGTTACATGACAGTGGTGGTTCTGTGTAACCAACTTTCCTAAGCAGCTTCCTTAATAGAGCATCCACAGTGTAGGTTTGAGACACAACCATCCATGCATGAGCAGAGAAGTTGATCTTTTCACGTTCATACACATTTGTGACCAGGGTGGTTTTCCCCAGTCCGCCCATACCTGACACTGTTATCACCTTACTGTCCAGCTCGTCAGCGTACAGCCATTCAGTCAGCAGTCTCCTACTGTCTTCAATCCCCACAAGATCTTCATCTTTCACAAGTTCTGGGAAGCTGTCCCGGGACCTCTGTCTTCCCATCTCAGTGAGTGGGTCAGAAACAAGCTGGGATGGATGCAACCACTGATCCTTGAGTTCTATAACTTGTTTGATTTCCTTTTCTATCTTGACTACCTCATCAGCAATTTGAGTGAAAACCAAAACATAATGTGATCCTTTGATGAAGTATTTTTTAAGGATGTGATCCTTTGATGAAGTATTTTTTAAGGAACCATTCTTCCGCCATTTGCATGGAGTAATTCAAGTATTTGTCCATGACGTCCTCAACACGGTACGCCACCTTCCTCACCTCACCAATCCAACCCTTGACGACTTCATCGGTGAGGTATATCATGCCCATCTGCAATATAACGTTGTTCATGGTTGTCAATTGCTTCCTCATTTGCTCAATCTTTTCATCCAGATCCTTCAGATTATTAACCTTTTCAGACAGTTTCACAATCAATTCTTTAGTGATTTCATCTGCTAAAGCATCACTGATCTTCGTGAGAGCAAGGAGGACCGCCTCTGCCATTTGTGCTGTACAAAATAAACATATTATCATGTTATGGACATAAAAAAATCACCCAAAGTTTTACTTTGACGTTGAAATTTGCTAATAGCACTGCTCACATTTAGAGAATCATATCAATCAATCATGACCGTAAAACATGGCATTACTTTCCAGTGTACGAGGCAAGTTTGGAATACCATATTAGCAGGCTTGGGTTTTTCAAACGCATCCCCCAAACGATCGATCCCAGAATGGCTCACTTACCTGTACTCATCGACAGTTGCAAGGCAACGGCAATCTAAGGTCCGAGCCCTAATCACTTCCTGGTGGCATATTTGGAACGAAAGAAACGCAAGAATTTTCCAGCATTCATCAAGAGTAGCTAATGAAGTAGCTGGCCAAATTCGAGAAGACAGATCTATGGAATTTTGCCTTCAAACCTCCCTAATGTTATTTCTCTCATTTCATATCATAGTCGCTCTTTTTCGTTTCTTCGTGTTTTTGATATAATCTAATGTAAAGAACTCTTATCTATTTTTATTCCTTCTAATATAACCGGCAGTCCTCCTGCCGTATATCGTTTCAAAAAACAAAAGGTTAAAACTATATAAAGTCAGGAAAATTCTATCGAAGACCTCGTAGACCATAGTCATACTATGATAATAATGACACTACTAGATGAGGCTCATACTGTAGAACTTCTCAATTAAATCAGTAACACAGACCATGAATCAAGGTTATATCTAATCCTATATTTATGCATTCATCTAAGATTTGTCGATAGAGGAATGGAATAAGATATACGAGCTAGAAGAAAATCTAGAACACATGTATGAGATGGAAGAACTTTTTTTGGCACAAAAGATGTGGAGATCAAGAGTTGCTGAAGGCGGAAAAAGACACAGAGTTTTTCCATAGTATGGGCAATGGAAGGAAAAGGAAATGTACAATTACAACCTTAGAGGATGATGGTAGAGAGCTGACAACCAAAGAAGAATTAACTAAAAACATCCTAGACTATTACAAATCCCTGTTTAGAGCCGATGAAAACCCTATAATTCAATTGTTTCAGAGGGTGTGGCAAAATGAGTAATGTCTAAATGAGGAGCAGAGAATCCAGATTATTTGACCTTTCTGTATTCAAAAGTTGGATAAGGTGTTGAAAGAAGCAAAACTGAACACTGCCCAAGGCCCTGATGAGTTCAGTATCCTCTTTTATAGAGCCTTTTGGACTGAAATTAGGAATGATCTATATGAGATATTCATAATGTCGACGGGTGGTACCGCGAGTACGGCGGTATTTGGATGGTATGGGGATCATCGGTAATAGGGTATATGCGAGATTGGGGTAAAAGAGATGGCGACAAGGATTTTTATATAGGTTCAAGCCCCTTATCTATCCTGTTGGTCGAAGCCGGTGTTCCTCCTTTATTCATTTGAATCACACAAGTACAATAATTGGGAAAACCCATCTAGTTATCATCGACTTGGCGGCATGGATAACCAACTCGTAGTCGACGACAAGGTAGTCTTCCTCCTCAAGCACGAATTCGTCGAGATCAGAGATGGCGCTAGATCCCTCTTGCCGGCCTCCGTAGGTACCGGATGGGGTATGTCTAGGCTAATCTCCAATGTCGATATATGGCAGCGTGTGTTGCCTTGTTTTGGCTTGTGTGTCTTGATGCTTTGTGGCTTGTCCCCTCTCCTCCTAGGAGATCTTGTATTTATACCCATAGATGCCCCCTTGTCCAAGTAGAACTAGGGAGACCAATATGGATACAATCCGAGTAGTCCTTATAGTTTCCATATAGAACTCTATTCGTCCTTCCTTATCCGGAACTTCTTCTATATACGAGGTATGATTCCGTATAAGACATGGTATTTGGTGGGCCCCGCCGTGCTTAGTCGATACTATTAGGTATGTGGTATCCATAACCCTGACAGTAGCCCCCGACTTTAATGCAAATGAACGAGTCGATGTTCTCAACCGAAGACCTTGGAACAATTGTTGTCGTGCTCACTTGACCGTTCTAGGTGAGATCAGAAATAGCACTAGATTCCTCTTATCGGCCTTCGTAGGCACCATGTTGGGTTTGTCTAGGTTAATCTCCGATGTCAACCGAGAAGGTACGGAGCATGCGACTAAGCCTCCTGTCTTACTGTACTCGAGAATTTGGATTGAAGTCAAGAAATTTCATCTCGTCGAGTACACCATCGTTTCATTCCATATTCCTTTTCGAGCCTCATCAACCGTTCTCGAGTAATCGAGTAGGCGTAGAGTCTGCGACAAAGCCTTGAAATCTGACTTGATTATTCTGATGTCTGATTTTCCTGAAATCAATACTCAGAACATTTACCGTACTTGCTTAGTCGATCCCGGTGTAGAACCGTAGAAACATGGAGTCGTGGTACGAGGATCGCTGCGTTACTGGTTAAAGACCAGTCGTAGTCGTACCTCGAGCATTAGAAGTCGTGGTGCGAGGATTGCTATGGTGCTAGTCAAAGACCAGTCGTAGTCGTACCTCGACCATTAGAAGTCGTGGTACGAGGATCGCTACGTCGCTTGTAGAAGACCAGTCGTAATCGTGCCTTGACCATTAGAAGTCGTGGTGTGAGGATCGCTACGTTGCTGGTAGAGGACTAGTCGTAGTCGTACCTCAACCACTTGAAGGGAATCCAGAGTAATAGATGGACGACATTTTCGTGACCTGCGAGAACTGCCTCCTAATGACGACGAAGACAATGAGGAATTATCGTAGTCAGAGGTTCGGCTCCTGGACCTACTACCTCGTCCTCGGGCCCTCTAGAAGTCTAGGGATCTCGAGTTTTGTCGTCGTCGTGTGATGTCATGATGTCGTTAACCTTGTCCATTGTCGTCCTGATGTCGTTAGTTCGAACGTTGTTGTCCTGGTGACAACGGCGATCTAGTCAATCTTGGTTGTTGCTATCATGATAATGTTAATTGTCGCGTTAGATGTCGAGAGATTGCTGTAACTGACTGGTCGAGGACCAGGAGTAGGCGTATGTCGATCACCTGAAGATGAATTTATAGGAGGTGAGAGATCGCTACGATCTATTGGTCGAGGACTAAGTGTAGGCGTATCTCGATCACCTGAAGATGACTTTTTGGGTGGTGAGAGATCGCTAGGATCTACTGGTCAACCAGGTGTAGGCGTATCTCGATCACCTGTAGGTAACTGATAGGCATACGGAAACAAACCGTATTCGCGAAAACATCTCTTGTTATCCATGACTACCCTTATCAATATTTGCCGTACTCACTTGGTCGATCCCAGTATAAGACCGTAGAGACATGGAGTCTTCGACATCAATATATGGAGTCCAACGGTCTACAAGTGAATTTAAATTGATAGGCAGCGAGATATGCTGATTTTCACTGGAGGATCACACATTTGCATATGCTGATGACACTGTTATTTTTATCCCTTTTGATATATACCTCCCAAGTGATAACCACAAAATTTTTGCTATACTGCTTTGAGGAAATGGCTGGGATGAAGATAAACTATCACAAGAGTGAAGTGTTTACGGTGGGATTGGAGATGAAGGAAACAAAGAAAGTAGCTCAAATGCTGAACTGTCTTATTGGCAAATTCTCTATGAAATACCTAGGCCTTTCCATTGGACCTTTTAGAATCTTAAACCATGAGTTGTCTTTCTTAGCTCAAAAGATGGAGAAGGGATTCGGATCTTGGAATGGCTGCAACCTCTCCCATGCAGGGAGAGCAGTTCACATCAATGCCTACTTATCTTCCTTCCCCTCCTAAGCAATTGGTTTTTATCAGTTACCTAAAGGGGTTCATCATCAGAGGTTTGATTTAGTTAGAGAGAGATACTATTGGGCTGGTGACAAGCAACATAGGAAATATCATATGGTGAGGTGGATAGACCTAGCTTTCCCCAAAGAGTTTGGAGGCATTGGCCTCACTAAGACTAGGATTTTAAATACTGCTTTGCTAGATAAGTGGTTAATTAAGCTTGTGTATTGAAATGTTGAGAAAGAAATACTTGTAGTCAGGAGGGGTGTTCCAAGTGGTGCAGTGGGAGTTTCAAAATTCTGGAGAGGGATTCTAAATGTCAGAAAATGTATGAAACTTGGCTCAAAATGGCAAGTGGGAGATGGATCACATATCTGGTTTTGGCATGATATCTGGTATGAATCTTGCCCTCTCAAAATAACCTTCCACGAGATATATGAGGTTTGTAATCAGCAAGATATCCTACTATCTGAGTTGAAACAAATTGAGAGATGTTGGAGGTTTAACCTTCAGAAGATCTTTTGGAATGATTGAGATGGAACAATGGGAGGAGATCAGACCAATTGTAGAGAAGTTAGAGTTGGGTACTACCCCTGATATTCTATTCTGGGGTTTGACGTACTGCTGACAAGAAATATACCGCAAATTCTATGTACAGAGCTATATCCTTTAGGGGGGTATTAAATGAGAAAATGCAAATAATATGGAAGTGTCCATGTCCTATGAAGATGAAACACTTCATTTGGTTAGCTATAAGAGATAGAATCCAATCGGCTGAACAACTCAAGACAAAAGGCTGGGAATGATCATACAGATGCCAATTATGTAATGAGATTGAAACTACAAGACACATTCTGTTCAGCTGCACTATGGCTTCCTTAGTGTGGTGTGTGTGTAGAGATGATCTGGGCTGGGGGACTATTCCGAACAATTTTGATGATTTATTTCTGTTAATTAGTCACAAAAGTTGCAGGAAAGTTAAAAGTTTATGCTGCCCTGCTAGCAGCTGTGTGTTGGGTCCTTTGGGTGAGCAAAAACGATATGATTTTTAGATGGAAACTTGTATATTCGCCTCTAATATACTGTCTCTCATCTTTCGCAGTGGAAGATCTTAAGTTGCGTTGAAGAAGCGAGGATAATAGATCAGTTAACAGAGAAGCTGAAGATGGCGACCGCAAGTATGGGGACGCCTAGAATTGGAGTTGGCTAAATACTGTGTTTTGACGATAGATGTCCTGTTTGGAAGT